ATCCAAATCGGTGTTGGCCTCCGAGTTCATCCTTCACAGGCATGGTTCAACGCGTGAGATGAAGAGGCAGATACAAGACAGTATCTGGACGGTACATCGTCCGTGTTAGCAGTTCCTATTCTGCAGCTCAAGCAGACAAACACCAGGGCTGTCATCACGCAATCACAATGACAAACACTCAGGGGTCTATGTAAGATGAGGGGTACCTCGAAAGGAGCGTTCGGATGGTGGGGCAACGGATGACGGAACTTCGGTGCCCTCTTCGGTTGATGGCAACGTTCGCATTGGACGGCCGGGATTATAATCCTGTGATAGTAGCATTCTGGAAAGCATGGGTGAACGCTAACGTGCGGGCAAGCTAAGAAGCTCACCCCGCGGAACCCACGCCCTCCACGCCATCCACGAGACTTTGTCTTGGCATTCACCGAGAAGGGTCGCGGTGATCAGACGCGAAGGCTTGGTGAATCAAATTGAAGAACTGATGGAATGCCGGGAAGATTGACTGTGCGCAAAATTAACGGATGGCAAGACACGGCGGTTGATGGTATCTGATTGTAACGCCAGGAAAAGCCCGGAATGGCAAATTGAAGTACCACATTGCTCAGTTGCCAAGCCAAATCCAGCTTAGAGGTTCCTGTAGAGACCACCTAGCTTTCCGGTTTATTCAATATACTCGATTAAGAAAAACTGTAATAGAGATTGTGACGGTGTAGATGACGACAAGTAATAGTAACAACGAAGACGACGACAAGATAGAGTATAAGTGAGTTCACAGGAGAGGCAGTTGCTTGAGTACAGGAGTATTGGGGTCCTGTTCTGTTATTGAGATTTGAGAAAGGACCGTGAGCTTGCTAGCGGTTGACAGTCTTGCCTGGCCGGGCGATAGAGAAAAAGAAAAGAATGAGAGAGCTTAAGATTGCGTCCTCTCTGCTCATTTGAACACCGGCACATCAACAAACAGATCCTCCTGCTCCATGTACTCCTCAGTCTCCAAAGGCTCCATCGTCTCGACAGCCGCAGGATCAAACTCCATGGCGAACTTACGAATGCCAGACAGTGATGCCTTGCTCACGCTTGGCTTGACTCTCTTCAACACCTTCTCGAACAGGGCTTGAGTCAACATCCTCTTGCCCTTGTCTACGCCGACTTCTACAAAGGTTTCGCACGCAATGGTTGCTTGGACGCACAAGTGGTGGATGTCTGCACCCGAGAAGCGAGAAGTCATGAGAGCCAGGAGATAGTAGTCGACATCGTGGTGCAGAATCTCACCCCGTAAAGCGATTTCGAAGATCTCTGCTCTCATCTCGGCAGACGGGAGACCCATGTGAATCCGGTTGGGGATGCGACGGAGCACCGCCGGGTCGAGGTCACCGGGTGCATTGGTCGCGAGCAAGACCAACGGCAAGTTCTTCGCTGCGCCCAGTCCGTTCATTTCGGTCAGGATCTGGCTGATTTGGACCTTGGCCAAGTGGTTTACGGCCTTCTCTCGGGCTCCCAGGCACAAGTCTGCTTCGTCGAAGAAGAGAATGCTGGGGGCAAGCAGTGTTCCCAGGCTGAACAGGCCGCGAATGAGTAGTCTCGGTTCAGAGTCAATGTCCGAAATGTCCGCAAGAGAGACATTGATGACTGTGGATCCAGATTCGCGAGCCAGTACACGCGCGAGGTGCGTCTTTCCGGTCCCGGCCGGGCCGTACAGGAGCGTACCGCCGACGTGGGAGCGACGAAGAAGCCCGTACGATTTTTTGGAGTCCGCGGCCTCGCCGTGCTGTCGTATAATGCCCCGGATGGCGCCTTCAACTGCGGGCTCGAGAGCGATGTCCTCCCAGCCCACCTCGATATCCTTCGGGGAAATGAGACAATGGGAAAACTTCCGCTCCCACGAGTACTTGGAGTAAAGGAATGGCGGTCCCTGCAAGTATGTGATCTGGCGCATGACCTTCTGGACGTCTGGAGGAAATTTGGCCCATTCGTCATCCAAGTCCTGGAGAGGCTCGACAACGTTCCGAGGATCCAAGGCTCTGGGAGGGGCAGGGAAAGGCGGGTGAGGAGGAGGAGCGCCTGCACGCCCAGGTGGCCGCATCCCACGAGGAGGCTTGGGCATAGGCATAGGAGCTCGGGTTGGCAAAGGAGCACCGAAGTCGTTCCAGGCTTTGAGAGTCTTGGACAAGACATCATAGTCCAGAACAGCCTTTCTTATCTTATCGTCCTCGATGGGCTGGCCGATGGCACGAGAAATGGACTCGAGCCTCATCTCTGTGAGAGAAACCTGGCTCATCCGCTCAGCCATGGCCGAACCATCTATGAATGACCATTCGGCATATGGCGCAAGAAGAGAACTGCCGTAGCCGGGATTCTCCTCTCGGCGGATGTATCTCTTGATGTCTCTGATGTTGCGAGATAGTAGCTCACGCTTGCCGTCTGCTTTCAGCAGAGCCTCCTGGGCCACAGACCGGACTGGGAGAACTTCCGTTGGTGCAGCGAACGGAAGAGGCAGCCGTCCAGGGGGGCCACGATGCTGTCCCGATATATAGGTCGTGCTGTGCGGAGGGCTCTCGGTCGTGACGACGAGAAGAATACCCTGACGGACTGGGTAATCGCGGATCGCAGTTTGCAGGTCTCGGAACAAGGATGCCGTGAGGTCGCTCTCACTGATGAAGAGGTGAACAATCAGGGGTACCGGGCGAGAGTCGCTTGCCTTCTTGATGCGTGGTGCATTGAGTACAGCACAAAAGGGGATGAACTTCTGTGGAGTAGTGTCATCAGTCGTTGGCCAGTTCGAATGGAGCTTCCGCGCTCACCTGTTTCTTTGGCTCTTCATCCTCCGAGTCGTAACAGTCATGCGGAGCAACTCCTTCTTCAGATACGTTAACGACACCAGGCGGTGGACGTGGGCAACCATAGGGAAGGGGCAAGGGCGGTGGCGGCGGCTGCCAGGGCTCTCGGTTCAACAAGATGTCCAGGTAGTTGCCCATGGCCTCGTCGTCGTCGGAGTCACTAGAACTGTCGCTGCTAATGCTCGATGCGTCTGATGCATCTGGGGGTGCATAGTGATCTCCTAGATCCTCAAGGTCATCCCGTGTGAGGGTGATGAGATCGCTGTCGATTGTCCTGGCGAAGTGCTTGACAACGTTTCTCGTGAAGTTGGCCGTTGATTCAGACGCTGCAGACATGAAGGTGTGGAGTCTGATGATGTTTTTGGTGAACCTGACGCCATTGCTGGCGCAAGATCTGGGGAGCAAGTCTTCCTCCAACGGGGCATCTCTGCGAACAAGTCCGAGGAGCGGATTGAACAAGGTCGAGCCCATTTCGTAAACGTCTGCGGCTGGCTCGGGGTTGGAAGATGTTTCCAGCTCATCTCTGCAATTGTCACCCTTGTTTGAGGGTATGTCGTCCAGAAGACGCAGGAACTCTGGATGGTCGTTCCATTCCTCAGTCGTTGTGACGCAGTTATCGAGGAGCCACTGTGGAAGTTCAATTGTGGGCGGTTGCTTTTCTCAAGGTCAGCACTTCTACGTATTTCAGATGTTTCGCTGAGGTGAACAGTAGGAGTAGCACTACTCACAGGGGTAACCTCAACTTCCTCTTCAGCATCTTCGTCTGCATCGTTGACCTCATCTTCGCTTTGGGTGTCAGAACTGGGAACAGGCACTCCTTCACGTTCAGCGTAGGACATGAAATCTTCCATGGGTTCCTTCTGTCCCCTCCAAGGGACCCTAACGGTTGGTATCTCTTCACCTTCGTTGTTCGTCATGATGTTTTCACTGTGTCGATAGTAGGATTCCCAAAATTGTCTCTGTAAGCAAGAGTGCGAACATGTTTTAGCATTTAAACAACGCCATCGAGTCTCTCGCTGCTACAGAGGACGAGCTCAGAGACTCTGGACGCCGGCAGATGTAGAGTACCTTACCCCGCTTGACAGCCTGTTCTTACTCGCATCAGCAGTGCAGCCTCAAGTACGTCATGAGCGTGTTTTGCTTCCATTGGGTGCCTCTTGTTTCACACGTATCGGTTGGCTCTCAATAGCAGGGCGGTCATCGTCGTGATGCACCACGCGCCCCTCTGCCTAAACCGTTATCTCGATTCGGTTACTGCACCCGGAGAGGCTCGGCTTGCCTCTGGGGGCTAGACCAGTCTGCCGCGTGCCATGACCACGATGTACGCAGTCACCGATCTCCAATCACTCTGACGCCTCATGCGACGCATGTGACGCGTGTCGCAGCATGTCGTGCTCTTGTCGAAGAAACCTCAACGCGGCCTGCTGCCCGTCTCTTGAGCAGATGACATTGATGAGAAGCTTCAGGCAGATGAGATGGCATGAAAGTACCCGGATCATCGGTGGTCCGGGGCCGAGATGTTGAGGCTTAAACATCCAAGATCATCAGCAGCAAGGAGTGCCATTGTGGCTAGTGAATACGAATCCCAAAATAAACCAGCCGTCAGTGGCGTCAATCCTCCAATCTCGCCCCAAAGTGCCCAGGTTGTTTCTCACTCAGATTTGCGTGCGAGAATCCACTTGGTGGCTCGTCCTCCTGGAAACCCCCTGTTCGTTTCCCAGAACGGTTAGCATAAACACTGCCCCTATTCCTTTTTCTGTGGGACTGTCGAAGATTCATTTGCTCATTTGCGGCTGATGTTTGCCCAGCGCCTGGGCCTCCAGTTTGTTGGAACTTGGCCCTGGGCCAAGTGTTTCCCAGTGGTGGCCCCAGGGACCAGGTTCGTAGCTAGGCGGCAGCGTGGCAGCCAGCAGCGGGCGGACTCGTGTGTTGTGGTGGTGTTTTTCGATGTTTTCTCATTTCATTTCCCGGGTCTTTTTTTCACTTTCCGTGTTCTGCACATCCACGCTCACTCACTGAACCTTCGTGGCACACTCCCGTCGCTGTTGGTCGGGGTATCGATGCTTGCCTGGGTCTGTTCTATAATTTCTTAATGATTTTCTGAATTCGTCATTCGTTACTTTTGTGCTCTAGACGCCGCCGCGTTCACTCGTTACACGCGCGACAATGGCGTTCGCATTGCCGCATCTTCTCTTCGCCATTTTGGCCGTTTTTCATTTGGGACCGGTGGCTGCAGCTGAAGGCGACATCAACCTCTGCGGACAGTCTGACCACTGGAACTCGACTGAGGTCCCATACTCTTGTAGGTTAACACTCCCATATACCATCGTGAGTGAGGCTTGTTGACATGGGCTTCTAGTCAACAACAATGCTTGGGGCAACGACAGCTCCGGCTACCAGTGCATGGCCGTGCATGATGGCGGTCGCAGCTTCGATGTCACCTACAAGTGGACAGGTGACGCTTCTCTTGTAAAAGGATTCCCCTACATGAAGGCGCACCCTTCGAGATTGCCCGTACAGCTGTGGAATGTCTCGCGACTTCAGTTTACCGCGGAATGGCAGACGTATGTGAAGGGCAAGGAGAGCGCCAGCGCCGATGAGCAAGCCAAGGCATTCGACGACATCAGCCTCTACGCCAACGTTGCCGTAGATATGTTCCTGTCTGACAACATCACCAACTCCACCGGCCTCAACGCGCCCTTTGAGATTATGATTTGGCCGTGGTGGGTGCCGACGGTCAAGCCTTTGGGCTGGGCCGAGTCCACGCCCGACACGGATACCGTCACCATCGACGGCACCAAGTTCTCTCTGTACCACGGCTGGAATGACGGCGGACAGCATGTCTTCTCTTGGCTGTCGCGCACCAACCTGACCAAGACGGACGCCGATTTCAGCCCGCTGTTGAAGTACATCTGGAAGAAGGGTCTGCTTTCCGGAGCGCTCTACCTGGGCCAGCTGGAGTTCGGATCAGAGATCAAGCATGCCGGAGAGGAGGTTCACTTTGAGGCCAAGAACTACAACCTGAGCATCGTCAGACAAGGCGACCCGGAAGACATCACGACCTCGACTTCGACGACTTCATCGGCCAAGACATCGAAGACGCCCACGCCGACGACAACCATCCCCTCTGAGATGCTAGTCTCCGCCACCTCAAGCACTCCGAGCAGCACCAACGCGGCTGCTCCGACGGGGGTCATGAACATCATGCCCTGGTCGCTGGCACTTGCTGCTTACTTATTATAACAACGAGACGTAATGTAGATGGTTCAATGTAGACATGGGATATCTGGCGTTCATGATTGGTAATGTTTGACTTTTCTAATTGATGCAACTGAATTATTGATGAGTGTTGCTATTAGGGCAAACATGTTCAGCTTATAACTACCTGTACGTATATTGAATATAGCTTATCTCTATTCTTTCCAAAGGAAAGGAGGGGAGTCAATACTCTTATCGTCTCCATTGTTATCGCTACTGTCGCGTTGCTAATAGCATCGTCGCTACTGTTGTGATCTGTATCTGCTGTTGTAGTTACCTCGATGGTTGTCGGCGTTGTTATGCATCATCACCATCCGCCCGTATAGCTAGAAATATCTGCCCGAATAGCAAAAATTGCATTGATTGTAGTTTGCGGACAGTTACTCACTGTTGACGGATCGGTGCTCACAAGTCACTGTTTCGATTCCATTGCTCAGAGCTCCTAATCACAGACTTAGTCGCATAGTGAAGAAGTGAGAAGCCAACTCAAGATTCGTGCTTAAAAATGCTTCATGTCCCCTCGTAAAGCTTTTGCTGCCTGCTCAATATCTGCACCCTCCAGTAAACACCTTGGCCGTTGTAAGCATTCAAACACCCGGACAAAATTTGACTAAGGTCTACATCTCAATATTTACCTGCAATGGAACAACCCAAGAAGACCAAGCCCAGCCCCTCGCGCAGCCACGGCGCCTACAAGTGCATATGCCACATATGCACCAATTGCACTTCTCTCGTGTCCGTTTACGGCACTTATTGCGCTGACTGCATAGCTGCTGGCCACTCTAGTCTTGCAGCAGTTTGAGTGCAGTTGCGAAAGCAGTAGAAATGGTTAGCAGACGCGTGGTGGCGCTTCATGATCATGGAGGTATAGCATTGGCGAAGCAGCATTTGAGTATGGCGCTGCTGAACTCACTAAGTCACCCTAAGTAGTCTTCATCTATCTTATACAAGTTCTCTTTTCATGACTGTCATATCTATCGTCTAAGGAAATCTAAAGAGAGCGACGCGCAATTCTATGAGTCTACGACTCTATGTCTTCCTCCTACTCTCTACTTCCCGCAGCTGTTGCTCTTTTCCTCTATCATGCTCTACGCTCATGTCCATTCTCATCCCAGTGTTCTGGTTCTAGTCGTCTTCGTCTATATCAAGAGCACCGATTATATCCAACTTTACGCCTCCAGTTTTGCACGCGGCAACAATCTCCTTTGGCACACTGCCATTATCACCCTGAACGGCGACAACAGTCTTGAGCATGCTGTGAGTGACACTCGCGACCTGCAACGTGTATTCGAGCAATTCAGTGACTTCCTCGTCCGTGCCAAGCTCGTTGAAAAATTCCAAGACTTCCAGATTCGGCGGGAGACCAACGGAGTGCATGCGTGGTTTCTTTGAAGACTTGCCAAAAAGCTGGTAGTCCCAATTCAACCTCAACGACTTCACTTTCTCAAAATCTCTCATCCTAACGGGTTTCCTGCCACCGAGCGTTGGGTGGTCGATGGTGATTGTCTCGAGTGAGTGACCCTGGGAGTTGAGTGCTAGGATGTAGTCGCTAAAATTGTCTGAACTCTCTTCCAATTCCGGGCTTGGCTGCTCCAACTGCGTCATAACGAACTCCTTCAAACCCTCGGGAAATTCGAGAATATCCGACAGCGCATCATCGTTGATGTCGCACTCGATGAGATGCAGCTTGTGCAGCGCTGTTTCGTGGGGTCGCTCAATCAGGTCGAACCCGCGGTAATCCAGCTTCGCTCGCCTGATGACTAGCGTCTCCAGTGTCGGGTGCGCAAAGATGTGGACATTCTCGCGGAGATCCCAGTACGCATCGTCGGGACACTGGTAAAATAGCGTGCAGTGCTTTAAGCATGCCAAGTCGAAGGGGCCATTGAAGAGAGCACCGATTCCGTGAAGCAGAGTGACGGGTACGGACACCTCGAGGGTCGCGAGGTTGCTCATGGTGCTGATGGTTCGACTGAGGGCCTCAAAGCGGGTCGGCGGGTGGTGTGAGCCATGAATCGGCCCATCGAGTCTCAGGTGCGAGAGTTCGTGGGCGGGATACTCGAGGCTGACGTCCTGGATGGCAGAACCGCGACGCATGCGACGACTGAGGGATTCTGAGAAGACGAGGTGCTGCTCCGGGTCGTCGAAGCGCACTTGGCGATAGAGGATGGCGTCGGCGAGCTCGTGCCAGGCCCTATTGACACGGCTCACGGCGCAAAGGTCGCTGCGCGAGGTGCGGCCGACGGCCTCGAAGATGTGCAGGAGCAACTCATCGGGGAGCAGGGCAAGCTGCCTGGGGACGGAAGTCGTGACAGACAGGATGCGGGATTGCGCTCGTGAATGCGACGACTGCGCCCGTTGAGCTTGCTGAGCTTGAGCTTGCGATCCGGCCTGCGGGTCGGCATTTGCGCCCGTCGTGGAATCGCGCGACATCCTGGTCCCACGATGAGTTGAAGAGTGGGAGAAGTGGATCCAAAAGTTGAGGTTCGCAGTCTGATAACGAGATGTTGCTGATAAAGTCTTGAACAGATGGCTGATAACGGCATTATGTCAGCATCCTCTCGGTGTTGCCGCAAGCGGTGAGCCAGTCATCGAGTCTGAGAACGGTCTGATTGGCCGCACATTCTGCCGCTCTCGGCTTATCGATAAGCGTCTCAGTCTCGATAAGCATGCGACCGTCTGTCTCTCTTCAGTGCTTCACTGCGTTCCAAGTTGGTGAAGCCCCTGAACCCGCTGAAACTGTTGCACTCCTGAGAGCGTCGGAGGCCTTGTCTGCCAAGAAACCAGCCATCTCAATCAAATCATACACGCAGCAAGTGCATTACTGTTTTTGTGAGCATAAATGAAATTTATTTTAAAGAGAGGTCTTTAGCGATACTTGGCATGAGATATCAACCGGTCGACAGGCGTTGATGCCCTGCTAGCTAAGTGTGCATGCATGCAGCTCATGATAAAGCGATCCAATCACAAGTTGCGTGACGCTAAACAAAATGGCAGTCATATGACCAGATGCCGGGTCGCACACCCGTAGGCCAGCCCAAAGTGCAAATCTCTCAAAACGCCCCCTCGGAACGATGTAAACACAGTACCCCGAAGCCGCCGTCATGTGGCTCATTGACGTCGAGACGCTGCAGACGGAAGAGTTCTTTGGCAAAATCCCTCAGTATGCCATACTCTCTCATACATGGCACGGCACGGATGAAGTCACTTTCAGGGAATGGGAACAGCGGGACTCAGCTGCGATCCAGTCAAAGTCGGGTTACACCAAAATCCTCAACGCCTGCCATCAGACACAGAAAGAGGGTCTGAGGTACCTGTGGGTTGACACGAATTGCATCAACAAGGAGAGTTCCGCAGAGCTTTCTGAGGCAATCAACTCCATGTTCGCCTGGTACCGAGACGCCCAAGTTTGCTTTGCATTTCTAGACGATGTTCAATTCGGCCCACCATTTTACTACACCTCCTCTGACCTGTCGGATGAGAGAACAGGATTAGAGATTGATGACGAAACGGGTTTCATTCACAGTCGCTGGTTCACCCGTGGTTGGACTCTCCAAGAGCTACTTGGCCCGACTCGACTCATATTCTTTGACTGCAACTGGAAGTCACTAGGGACCCGCAGTTGGTTGTCCCGACGTATCTCAACTGCGACAAACATAGACGAATTTTATCTTGCAGACGCCTTTGTCGGAGATCCTTCCTCTAGATCGGTGGTGATAGAAAAGCCCAGTATATCGGAAAAGATGTCATGGCTATCCACAAGAAAAACAACGAGAGTCGAGGACTTGGCCTACTGTATGTTGGGTATTTTCGACTTGAACATGCCTCTTCTATACGGCGAGGGTATGAAAGCTTTTGCTCGGTTACAAGAAGAGATCATCAAAGGATCTAATGACCAGACAATATTTTGTTGGCCTTGGGATAAAAACATTGTTCCGTTGAACTGGGGCAGCTTGCTTGCGCCCGAGCCATCACTCTTCAAGGACGGGCGTCTTTATGGATCAACATCGACCGTTCATTGGTCGCCGTGGTCGAAGACAACATCGTACGTCATGACGAACGCCGGTTTACGCATCAGATTTCCTACGCTGAGGCTGGGTGGCGGAATAGAGCTGGCCATTCTCACTGCTCACCACAACAAACACTTCCTACAGAGTCGAGTTTGTATCACTTTGAAGACAATCCTTCCGCATGGAGAGACAACCAAAAGCGTCGTGGATGATTCCGCCACAATAGCGCAGAGATTTCCGATACCACCGGACCTAGTCGTCCTCAACGAACTAGACGCATTATCTATTTCGGCCTCCGCGCTCAAGGAAATTTGCATTCGCCCGTTACCGAATCTCAATGTAGACTTAGACGCGGCTCTGCGAGGCTGGGAACTGGGAATATCTCGGTCAAGGGTGAGCGCATCGGCAATCTTACTTATCTTTGACGATGCTGTTGGCTGTGACTTGTTTGGAGCTTTCCCGATCGGAGGCACATCGCAGCTACGGCTCGAGCCACTCTCCAGGAACTTGTTTCCTGTGGCACCCTCTGATACATCGTCTACCAGTGCTACAGAGTTTTACTTCATCCAAGCTAGCGGAGCACATCTAGCCAGCCTGGTTGTGGGAATTCACAGACGAAGCGAAAATACATATTTCCCTGGCATTCTGGACGTGCCTGACTGGTTTTGTTATTTCAAAGAGCATGAGAGACATTTTCCCTCAATGTATGACCGATCCACATCAGCCGTGACCCCTGATGGGCGTATATCGGTACGACTGGATTGGAGCGTGTTCAAAACTGACGGCTTTGTGATTAAACCGGTCTATGTCTTGCCAGGAAAAATGCCTTTCAGATATTGAGATATAGAAGAAGAGCGTTCGGGAGTTTAGTAACCAATCAATAGACCGCAGTTCTCTACCATGTTCGTATGTTTGCCAGTACAAATATCGCAGCCAAGTAACAACTCGCGGATACGAAATAGGGTATTCCCAATGCCGCACCACCCAAAGCAATCGCCTTTACCCAAAGAACCATCATAAGCGGCGCTCCGAGCAATGATCCAGATGTCTTGACCATCATTACGATGGAAAAGATGTGAGAGTCCGGGTCAGCAGTGTCCAGCTGCTGCTCGTTCCGCTTAGGGGCAATGAACGGCGACTTCAACAACGAAAGAGTGAAGACCGGCAACGCGGAGCCCAGGGCATACAGAAATAGAGACGGGACAAGCATCCAAGTGCTTGTAGCCACGGAAATCGCCAGTGCGCCGAGAACAGACACGACGAGGCAGACGTTGGCATAGTACATGTTCATCCGGTGACTCGCCAGCTCGGGGGAAAGGTGCCGGGAGGCGTTCCGACGCGAGCGAAGCAGTGCTGGAATGATGATAGTCAGAAGGGTGAAGTTTACTACGGCCTTTGCCGAAAGCAGATAGCCAGTAGAGGCGAATGTCCAGTGGTACCGCTTTGAAATGTACTGAACCAGAAGCTTCGTATCTGAGCTTGCAAGAGAGGTCAAGACGTAACTGATGAGCAGAAGCGTCATATTGCGCGGATGGCTCGCAATGATGGAGCGCAAGACGCCAAAACGTTGGATGACAGATCTCACTAGTGAGGGATTGGCGTCTTGGGCTTTTAAGACTGGGGAAGAGAGAAGTGGACGCGACTGCTCATCTCCATGACGTGCCCGAGATGAAGAAGAAGGGGCGGCAGACGAATCTTCGACAAGAGAGATGGCCGGAATCGCTGAGAGGAGGAGGCATATCCCAATCCAGAAGGGCAGCCATAGTAGCAGGCTCATGGTGGCCGACGCAAGAGCGGGGCCAAGAAGCGCTACAACATAGGAGACGGAACTCATCCAGCCGAAATATGTCGCCCTTCGAGACCCGATTAGTTTACAGATACGTGGCGGAAATGGACGACATCCTCACCTCTCAACATGATCATCGGTCATGCCAGACGCGATTGCGTACGTAATTGAGTTGAACACACAATCGCCCCCCAACACGGAGAGAAACGGAGAGGCAACAATGGCCTTAGTCGGGAGCGCCTGCTCAAAATAACCGACGAGAACAGCCCAGGTCAACATGAAGATCCGAGGTACGAGGTTGAGGGACAGAATAGTGCGCCGGCCGTACCGCTCAGCAAGAAAGCCTAGCGGGATGGTCATGACAAAGTCTAGAAATATTGTCAACCTTGGTTCTCCCCGACATGTGAGAATCTAGTCCTTACCTCCCACGATCCATGCCGTTTCCATGGTTCCTTGAATCCATGCCAGCCGTTGCTGGACGCTGTCGATCTTGCACAGAGTTTCGTCCACACTGCCATCCCGATCGACCACCGAGGGATCCGCAGCCAGGTAGTGCTCGCGGCAAAGTCGACGCTCGACGACTCTGTTCAGGGGCAGCTGATAGAGACTCGCGGCCAGATTCACCAGCAGCACCAAGGCCAGGAGGGCACCGATCCCCGCTTTCCGCGACTTACGCGGGGCTTGCGGCAACGCGTGGCCATCGGATGCAACGTGCTCGCCCTCGGCGTCCACGGAAGTTGACATGATCCACAGATCGCGTGGTGAATCTGGGGTTGACGGAGTTTGACATGCGATTAATGTTCGGTCGGAGCGCGGGGAATTTCGGGACACTGGGGTCAACTATGTGATGACTAAGCTTCTATCTTCCCGCGCCGGACATCTTAAAGTACAAGCATGATGCCGATGGCCATGGGACGAACACGGCGCTAGTTGATAAAGTCAAATTCATACACTGATTTTACGGAGTTCTTCAGTTATCAAAACGAACAGTTTGTGATGCGGAATGTAATTATTTACTCCGATGGTGGCGTTTTCAGTTTGCTTAATTAGGTCGCATATCAGATCCGAAGCTTGCCAACATCTTCCCCTATTCGGCTCTTGACCACGGGAACCTACTTAGTGTCAAAACACGGGTGGGAGTTTTAAGAACAAGACGAACTGTTTGCCGTTTGAGCTTACCTCATGTTCAATATTCAAACCCCAAGGCATAGCGGACTGCATCCGCCACCCCCGTTCGCTGATCATGAAGCTAAGCCTCTATTGGAACCTGTCAATCCTGACGGCGTAGGCAGCCACGGTGGCTGCTCAGAGTGCCTATGAACGACTAACCGTTTGCTAAGATCGGTGTTGAATCTTAAGGTTGAGATGACAACGGCCATCCGTGGCTCAATCAATCAATTAGCCGGAAGCCTTGATTCCTCTTTTCAATTTACTCTACAGATAGAATCAGGCTGGCTGAAGCCCTTTCGCAACGCGCCTCAACCCTGCGCTGCCAAGCATGCATTGTTAGCCAATTATCCACATCCGTTGGAAGCCGGCAACGCAATCTCCTGACATATCTCTCCACTTGTGAGCGGCCGGGTGATCCTACTTAGGCAACGACTCGCTAAGCACACCCAAGAACCTCGACGACCAACACCATGCAGGGGTTGCCCATCCTTTTAAACGATGCCCAGCCTGCTCGGCACCCCTGAATCTCAAAATCGATCTTTGGTACTTTAGTTGAATTGAAGACGCGACCCCGTTCCACGCTGAATCGTCAAACCCAACACAGCTCAATTGGATGAACCACAAAAATGACAACGTTACTCGACCTGCCCACAGAGCTGGTCTACAAGATCCTCTCCGGGCTAGCGGAACCCAATCCGGGACCTTACCGATTTCGCTTCGAAGATGCCAAGCCATCCTTCAACACCGAGCGCGTCAATCAGAGTTTATCGACAATGGCCAAAGTCTGTCGCACGTCGCGCACACTTCGCGATCTCGTTGAGCCACTGCTCTATGAGTTCGTATACATTCCCGACGCAACCGCGAAGCCACTTCTGTCGCTTCTGAGATGCTGGAAATCTCGGCCTCACTGTGCCGGATACGCAAGACGATTTACGGCAGAGACGAAGTGGGCTGCTGGAGGAACACCTCCTCAAGTCATTGACAAGAAAGATGTCGCATTTATCTCTGAGATAGCGAAGCATCTCAAAGTCTACTTGCGTGAGACTTGGCACGAGTATACCTGGAATACAGACATTCTCATCGAGCTCGCAATGTTTCAGGCGCACCGCATCCAGAGTATTGAGCTGGAATTTTGCCAGCGCAGGGGAATCTATCGCCCAGCGTTCGAGAGCCTTCTTCCCGAACTTGGCAATACGACACATATTAGCTTCCCGAGCCTCGACTATCTCTACGTCTTACAGGCAGGGTTGAGAGCAGGCGAGCTCGATCATGTGCTGGAGCGGGCACCAAATCTGTCCAAACTCCGCCTCTTCATGTGCGATTTCAACTATCCGAGCCAGACTCTGCCTGCCAATCTCACAAGCCTGTGCATTTTCCAATGCGTAATCGCGCCCTCTCGTCTAGAGACCATCATTTCAAGTATGGAGAAGTTGAGTCGGCTGGAGTGCACTATCTGGCGCGGCCAGCCAGAGGATCTGGCTAGGGTTATCACTTCTCTATCGAAGCACGCGAAGACGTTGAAGAGTCTCACAGTGTCGTTCAGATGGAATCGAAGGCCTGGAAGTTCGAGAGTGAAGGTGCCCTTAGAGGCGCTCACCAGCCTTGAGTCACTGACCACTGATGTTCGAAGTTTCGGTTTTGGAGGCACAGGTTTGGTACAATCCCTGCCCGCATCTCTATCAAAGCTGCGCATCATCAGATCACCGGAAACTACAAAAGATGAGCTGGCTTGTTTCTACACCGAGCTTTGCGCGGCACGGACGCGCGGGAGGGAAGACCTCAGAGTCCTATTGTCGGGGCCTGAATATTGGGAAGAGCTAGACAGCGATCACGACACTGTCTTTGACGGTTCGATGCTTTTCTAGCTCGTCAAATCATATTTTTCAGATGCATGTAGTGATGCCACGCGTTGTCAGCCGATGGAATTGAAACAAAGCCAAAATAAGATTACCGCAAACACCTAAGATGCCTATAAAAATGGCCAAACTCCTCGCTTTATCCAATATTGTTTTCCCAATTCCCTTTCCTATTTATTTTCTCATCGTTCTTTTCCTCAATGTACCTTTCATGACTGATCTCGACTTGCGTCATGTGCGCTGACGATCGAAATCCTGGCCTTGAACAGAGAATCAGTAAGAGATGACAAAACGACGATTGTCGGGACTAATTTCCAGTGCCGTTTGAAGAGTTGTAAGAGTTGTCAGCAGAACTATCCGGTTGTGGAAACGCATCACCAATAGCACCGTACGGGTTTCGGCCACCATTGGTAGCCGGGGAGCTACCAGGAAGAAGACGACCATCACCAATGGCACCGAAATTCGTTGAACCATTGACGAAGTCTCGACGCCGACCCCGGTTGGCTCGGGCATTAGGCGGCGGGAACGGGTGCGAGTCCGGCATCTCGTAGATCATCGGGTCGATGTCCATGTCTTCGCACAGCGCCATCGGAAGTGTATGGTAGAACTCGGTCTTCTCATCTTCATAAGACTGTCCACTCCCAAGTCGAGTAGCTGAAAAGTCAAAACTGGAGAGCCCAGCCCACTCTTTCTGGGGTTGAATAGAGAAAAGAGAAGGAGCTCCGAAAGTACGCAGAGGGTATTTTCTTCTGATTTGCCGATCATAGCTTTCTGGCTGAGGGAACCGTTGAGGGGCAACATCTGGAAGGTTGACAGGTACTTGAGGCTCCGGTTGGCGATGTCCAGGCTGTGGTCTCCTGTCAGCTGGATACAGTGCATACGGAATTGCAACGCGAGGATCATCGTAACGAGCATGTCCACATTGAACTTGCTTTTCTTGTAGGCACCGGTGGCACATGTATCCCATGCGCTTGACCTGGGTTTCTTCAAAGTCAGGGCAGCGACCTTCGGGGGATACTCTTGGGTTGGTGGAAATCTCGGCTGGTTGCTCAAGCCACCATCTTCCGCAACGTTCTTCGTCTTCCCATTGTGCCTGAGGCTTCACGTCAGTGACATGACCTATTTCATTGGATTGGAGAACACTGCTGCTGAGTTCGCAACCCTGGCGTTGCGGACACTCCCGGTTGATACAGGGGCAGATGGTGTATTTGTTGGTGCCGTTACACATGTTGATTGACTGGAAAGGTAATCTGGAGGCGTGATGTGGTTGACAAAATGGCTGTTCGAGATTGTTGTATCAAGTGATGACGTGTAGATAATGGATGCTGTTGTGTTTGAGTGACTGATAAGGAGAACATATTTGCTACGGGCTGGCTCTTCGTTATATAACATGAAGAGGGGCAAATGGCACGGAACTGACAATAAAATTGTTCTTGAAATAATTCAGCTTTCCACAAAGAGGAACGACAAGAAGATCAAAGGGATCAGAGGTCTCGTATCATGAACAAACAAGATGAGTCCAAGGCCTCGAGACAATGCGGTTGTACCTGCGATCAAAAAGTTCAGTTACCTGTTCTTTATTCAACGAATTGAAGATTCAAAGCCAGTGCCCTCATTGCACACCTGCGGCAAAAGAGGTTTTGTTGCAAGGTATGAGAACGACACGTTGTCCGCCATTAATTTATCGCAGCGGCTACACTCTCAATGGGATTGTTATTTGAACACTAGAAACGAAAACAATGGTTGTAATTGAGCCCTTACACATCAGGAGAGCTCACCTTGCCTTGTAAAATGATCAGAGCGTTTGGTTCACGGTGCCAACTAGACGCCTATTGCTCGTCACGATATACAAACGAGGTATCTTGGTAGACCATGGTGATGAAGAACCCGCGGGCCTGGAAAGGTCGGAGGAAAGTCTGACTTTCAATATCAAGACACATGCTTCGGAGCTGAAATACGGACTTCATACGGACTTCATTGTCTCATTCGTACGCTACTGGGTATCTTTTCCTCTCTTACCGTCAAACAAACTAACGCCAGTTGATTATGCAGAGTGTCCTCCCATACTTGCACACGCTGTCGAGGCAGGAGGACCTGAATTCCAGCCTCACGTCACTCAGCAACCGACGCCATAAACCCGCTCTCGTTCAACGACGCGCTCGACCCTTTCAGGAAACGGTCGTTTTCTCTCAAAACTACCCCTTCTCCATCTACGACGTTCGTATCTTTCACGATAACATCGGTCGTATTCATCGCGCTTGGCAATGTCCTCCAACAGGATGTCCTTTTGCTCCCTCTCGCCAGCGAGCATGGCCTGGAGTATCTCCACCTTTTTGAAGAGCTCGTCAACCCTTGCCGACCTAATGTGCTCGTCTGCAAGCTTTCGCTCAAGATCCGCAATTGTGCGCAACAGTTTTTCGACTTCGTACCGTCGCCCTTCTTGCAGCGTGTGATTTTCGCGCTCGATCCGGAGTTCCTCTTCGAGAATCTCAACTTTGCGCACAAGTTCCGAAATGCGACGCTCGTACCCATCCGTTGGCGGAAATCGAAGTCTTTCTTCTGCAAGGAGCTCCTCCAATTCGTCGACTCGGCGCAGCACCTCGCCCGCTTTGCGCTCCCAGTGCTCGACCCTCCTCTGCTCGCGCTCCAGGTCCAGCAGCAACCGTGCGTTTCGGTCCTCCAGATCCTTTCTCCAAATGCGGTTGTCTTCCTCCGAAATCCAAGTGCTCCGGAGAATCCGAATTTCCTCTCTGCTTTCGTTCAACCGAAGTAGACAGCTGTCGTAGTCTCTGGCAAGCTTGTCATGGCGGCATTTCAGATCATCGTAGTGGTGCGACTCATAGCCCCGGCCACGCAACCTGTCTTCCAGATGTTTGATCTTCTTATGCAGCTCCGTCCGAGAATGCTCGTAGCACAATTTGTCAGATCCTGTATCGTTGAAATTGAGGCACTTGTCGATCTTGCAGCAGTGCTCTTCGCAATAGCCAAGACGAAGTCTGGCCTTATTGCTGCAGCCAGATCTTCTGCATTCGTGTTCCTCGCAAAATGTCCCCCCTCCTATACGAATTCTGTCGCATCCATCCCAATTGCAAGAGTGTTTTTCACAGTATTCGCCGCTTATACAAACTTCGCGGCAGTCGGTAGTTCTGCAGGTATGTCGGCGACAATAGGTGCCAAAGCCCCCCTTCTTGACAACAATTGCGACGGCGTAGCACCGGGTCACCTCGCAGCCGTGGTCGCGGCAGAATAGTCTTTCGACATCTTTCTCATTGTCGCGAAAATTCAGACAGCCCTCGAAGGTGCATTTATGGTAACCGCAATAGCGGCAGTTGGGGAGACACAATTTGTCGCAGTCTTTGTAGATGCATCGTAGCTCTCGATAGTCTATTTTCACGTTAGTCTCTTACGATTCCACACAGGGACAGACAAGTGCATTACGTTTCTCGCAATGATCCCATAAGCCGTCCTTGTGCCGATGTCGCCATAATTTGCAGTCTTTGAAAGGGCATTTCTGGTGCTTGATGCAGCGGAAATCCGAATGGACCGTCTCGCGGCAGCCCTCTTCACGACAAATCCTTGCCACATGGTCGATGCAATAATCCGCGTCTAGTATTCGTCTTTCGAAGCATTTTCCAGTCGAACAACGGTGGTCTTTGCAGTAGCCACAGTCCCCGGGCCTTTCCTTGAAGCATCCCTCGACGCGGCAAATGTCTGTTCGAGCTGCCAGTCAGCGTCATGCTCCCGGACTTTGCACCAGACAAAACTTACGGCTCGAGCAAAACCACGGCAAAGCGACGCCGAGCGGACAATCCCCTCGACGTGTGCAATCTTTGAACCCGCACTCCCGGTCTGCGAAAAAATGAATTGTCAGATATTTGGTCATGACGGGAGGGAAGGGGACTTACGTAGAGAGCAGAAGCGATGTCGCTTCTCTTTTGATCGCGTGCACATAGACTCGCCAAAGACGCAGAACTTGCATGTATCTAGAAAAGCGTTTGAGCCACCTGTATGAGTTGAAAGGTTGAGGATATTTTGAAGACTTACGCTCCACGCAAAACTCGGAGTACAACCTGATGGATCCCTCTCGACGTATGTAGGCATGCTTTCGGGAGCAGCCTTTGACACCGCAAATCCTATCCCACTCGGATCTTGACGAGCAGGTCGAAATACAGCTTGAACAGCTGCAGCTCGAACTACAACTGGAGCTGCAAGTCGAACATGACGACGAAGATGACGAGGAGCGAGAAGGCAGAATCAGGCCCATGGTGAGTTCCGGCTTCTTGGTGACAAGAGCAGAGTATCCAGAGTCCAAAAGAGGGTTCTGTCTCGCTCAGTTGTCAACTGCGGCCAAATCTAGTACAGATCGATGAGGTGACTTGGTGGCCGATAAAAATTGTGGGCTAGGAGGAAAAGATGCCGTCTACGAAGAGAGAAGAAGGAAAGAGGAAAGAAAATTGGAGACTGGAAGAAAATGGTGGAGGTTTCTCTGAAAGAAAGATGACCCGAGGGAGGTCAAGGTGAATGCAGGAGCACGTCCAGGTGAAGGTGTCTGACTGGGACAAGGACCCCGTGAGGTCAAGGTGACAATAGCTTCATCCCAACTTTTGGAGGTGGTGTGGCTCAGCTTTGTCCGGATCATCCCAGGCTTTGAGAAAAGCCCGACCACGCGACCAGCTGGAACACCTGTCCTACCAAGTCTTTGCTAGCTGAGTGTTTCCCTTTCCACCAAATTTAGTTCTAAGAAATGGGCCTCCCAGATATGAGATGTACGAAATTGAGGACATCATGTCTACAGCATGGGCAACGTCTGAAATTTCGCATCCGCCGTTGGACCTTCCACAAACTTTGCGCAATCATTTTGATCAATAAATTGGATTTCAGCTTGCGCAAAGACTTGATCTAAGCCCAATTCCGACAGAGGAAACTGCCGGGTGCATTTGCATCTAGCAGCACATTAGAGCAAACAGGAATGCAAGCTGCAAGATCCAGACATGGTGTAGTCGCTTCAACATAAACTTGCACCTCACCTTGAACACAATCGTCATTCGTCAGAACCAAAAGATCTTGACATGCAATATTGGGTTGCATTCTGCCGGTTCAGACCGAACATACGGCCAGCTGAAGGATCGGCCCCTCGAGAACAGACGTCCGACAAGACGCAGACGAAACGACACTAAGCTGACAGCTGTTCGGAGCGGACCAGCTATGAAGTCTAAATGACGCGCGGATGCGCAACGCGACCGGAGAAGCGAAATGGGGACCCGATGAAGAAGAGGACATCGGAGGAAGAGAAGTTGGGGGCCACCAGCCAGTAAGCATGAGCCACACGTGGTCCCTTGAACCAGCCGGCTGATGGTGGGTTGAAGCTCCCAAAGGGTCTCAAACCATCACATGGAGGGTCAATCGTGTGGCATGCGCCCATCGAGCTAAGACAAAACCACCAGAAGGCGACCGGCCAATTACGTCACGCTACTCTCTGTGATGTCAATACAAAAAGGGGATAATTCCAGACCTTCAACTAACAGATGGTCGTGTCATAGTCAAATTACTCTTGCAGTGAATTTGAAATTTTCAAGGAATGGAACTGTCAAATGCTTTTGGCTATGAAAGCATTCGTGGCAATGTCTCAAATAAGACCAAAGCATACTAGCAAAGCTCAGCCGAACGGAAAGCCTTCCATCATTGCGCGTCTGTTTTGCGCCAATCATGGATAAAGACGGCATGCCAATTGGCAACCAGCCGACAAAAGCCGCCTTCAGAGTCTTTACATTCTTTGCTGTTTTGTCACTCAATTTTACCACAAAACAGTCACATTGAGAACAAACCAAACATATCTCGCAATACTGTTTGCTCTATTGAATTCAAGATTCAACGTGGAAAGCCACGGTATGGAGAGCCGGCTGTTGATCCCTCCGATGCATTGGGTGGTGCCGCTATGTCTAAGCGTCTGATTGCTCCTCTGGATCGTGTTGAATAATCAATGGGGTTATGAATTCGCTTCATTCGCCTCGTCCTTAAACCCGCCATGGTCCGCACCACTTAATGCACATGTTTCTCGAAATACACATGCGTTCGGTCGCCGGAACTTTCAAGGCGACCGGCAAAGCTGGAGAAGTTCCTATTTGACAGACAGCTATCTCCAGCGTCTGACAGACCGAGGGGTCGGACCATCTTTAGGCAAAGCATTCCTGAACACAGACCTTGTCTACACCTCGGACCTGACGATCTGACCCATGAGTTCCTCCAGCACAGACGCCGCCTTACGCAAATCCGGAGCTTCGCCATACCAGCGCTGCAAAGCCCATGTGGCCGAGTCCACCGCATGTTTCCATCGGTCCGGCAGTCGGAACCTACCGCTCTTGACCGCCGCCAGGACCAAAAGAGCACGGGTCATCGCCGCTCTGGCCATGAACCAGGTTCCGTGATGGCGATGGTGCGGATTAGCGTCCAGTAGCAACTCGACTGCGATCTCAAGACCCTTCTCCGCTAACGGCAAGACGCGGGGAATCCATGGGTCGTCGGGGGGCTGGTGGATTACGTAGTACACGAACGGGCGATGGATCCATTCGCGACAGCTCTCCGCTCGGTTTTGGATGTAATGGACTAGCTCATTACTAGAATGTTCACGATTTTGCCAATTGATCTGTGACGGAATATGACAGCACCTACAGGAAGCATCAGCGGTCAAGCTTCGTAGCAGAGATTCTCGAGGATCATAGCTTAGGGCGGCCAGCTACTCACCAAACATTGATCTGCTGATCAAAATCTTCGTATTTCTCAATGACTTTCGCAATATTTCGAATCCAAGCTTCTTCACCATGGTAACCCATGATCGATATCGCCCGGTTGATCATCCTTCGAGACGATATTTCAGCGAGATAGTAAAACCAGCTTTTCTCCTCTTCTGGTTGGATATCGTCTTCAAGAATGTCCAGCGAACTTGGCTGTGGCGCTGGCGTAGCAACCTCTGAAGGAGGCGAAGGAAACAAGTCAGGGTACCTCAATCGAGTAATGCCGCTCGAAGGCAGGGGTATCTCGCATCTCAGCTCGCTGCAAGATCGCATTAGTCTGCATCATGTGCATGGTAGGGGCTCAGTACTGACCACTCAGATTTCATGCACGACCAGTAGAGCCGCTGCTCAAGGCGTCGTGCTTTCTGGGACATATTTTCGGGTGCTCGTCGTTGAGTCCGCCTCCACAGGAGATTCTTGAACTGCACGCAAGCCTGGTTGAAGTACGACCAGGCAGGGAGAGGGCGTAAAGAATACATCTCAAATACTCCACAGAAGAACAGGCACTGCACTTGAAGTAGGGAGGGTTCCAGAAGACCCAGTCGTTTCTTCGCCGCAAAGAAGTAGGCTTGGGCGGTATCTGGATCTGTGGAGTTTGAAGCTGTCGAACGGATAGACTCAGGTGTGCTATTCAGAAAACTGTCCTGTTCGAAATGGGTGGCCAGGCATGCCAGAGCGCAGGCTATGAGCTACAGAGGAATAAGCAAGTGAATGAGTGACGCGAAAGAGGCAACGCCGACTTACTACAAGACAGGATGGGCCATCCCACCGTGGACCATTCTCAATCGCGGCCTTGACATGTGCTCTGAAGTCAGGGACATCGAGAACTGGGTTCTTGACGTGCACATATGCCAAGAACTTTTTCGATAGCACAGTGAAGTCATCTTCTTGTACCCCTCGTCCAAGACTGGCTGCGTTGTTCGATTTCCTTACGCCCATGCAATCAGGATCGTCATCTTCAAGTTCGAGAATGAAAGAGTTGATCTCAGGAACAGTGTCCCTGAATATTGGCCATCTCAATATTGTCTCACAGTTCCAACTTGCCGCCGCAAGATCCGGAATATCAAACCGGGTCATAACATCGTCTTCTGGCAGGCCATCGTCTGTCTGGCACTGCGTCTCATCTACAACAGCGCAGGAACTCCCCTGGGGTCCATTGATCGAAGTCGGGGACAAGATCTGGTTGCCGTGTGGGACAGCTGGGATGCATGTGGGCTCAGCTGCCGGGAGCGGTGCCGGTGGGCGGCTCTCCAGGAGATTGACTACATGATTGATCCTATCCAGAATTGCCAAGCTGGCTGGATCAAATCTGCGACGAAATATTTAGAATCGATATGCCCACAAAGGGGAAATGCTCTTACGTTGAGAAATCATTTGTTGTGTCTGGATAGGTACACAGGCCGCCGTTCCGTTGGCAAAAACCACAGGCGGGCCGCACGTTGTCGCACTTCGTCTTGCGGACTCGGCATGGCCCACAGGCGGCCACGGCACGCCTTCTTTGGTACATGCCGGATGTACGGCGCCTCTTGTTCCCCGCCTCAGGGGTCTCAGAACCCGCATCAGCGCCCGACATGGTTATGATACTGCAGAATCAGGCAGTCATAGATTGCAACCTGTGGAGATAAAGGGTGCTGGATAGGGCGTAGGATATCTGAGAAACCTTTCTACGACGTGTGATAACGGGACTTGCCCGAGTGATTTGATGGAGGCGGCGTGCTGAAGAACTTGGGACAAGGCGCGCGGGGAGTAGCGGAGTTAAGAACAATGAAGGAGCCCCTGAAAAGCGAAAACGAGGGCAGGGGTTCTCCAATTGAATATTGTGGTACCGTTACCCCATCTCGGTTAGCGTGCTCGCTGCTCTGAATCGTTACAACTGTTGGAGCCTATTGAGTGACCGAAGGTTGAACGCTGACTGCTCTAGGTCTGTATTGTTGGCAAAACGAAAGATCACTATTGATAATTGAGATACTTCGAAATTCATGCATCGCCTTCGCCACCAGACTCTACTTGATGCATTGCTCTAGCTCTTCGCTGCACCCATGTCTCGCAACCTATTTCGTCGTACTTCGGCTTCTCCCCGTCTTTAATACAAGTATCCAAAACACCGCAACTCTCATGCAGACCAAAACCGAAGAAAAAAGGCATGCTAATCCTCTCCTCGCCGCTCAGATTTTGAGCACGATGAACAGTGCTGATGTAAAGATCGTTGGTAATCCGTTGCAGATAGTCAGCGATATTGACAACAAAAGTTCCCGGAATCGGCGCCGCCCTAATGAGAGACCACAAATGAGTTTCAAGCTCATCTCTTCTTCGAAGCAGTATGGACTTACCTGATCCACTGCCCCTGGCGATTCAGAACTTGCAGTCCCCCAACAGCATCTTGCCAAAGAATGGTGAAAAGCTGGAAGTCCGTGTGCGATCCGATCGATACTTGTGCATCAGTGTCGGCTGGAGCACCGTTCAAAGCCTTCAATAACGGCGGATAATAGTTGAGCGCCAACGCAGCATCTGGGTACGCAAACTTAGCATCGAAATGGTCTTCCGGAAGGTCCAGAGACAATGCGAAAGCTCGCACTAGCACGCGAGCAAGTTTCAGGCATGACTGCCAGTAACGGATAATCGAGCTCTTGAACTGCGGTTTATTGGAAGCTCCTTCCCAATGAAAATCTTCTATCCGGAGGAAACGCTTGGCATCGTCTGGGATGGACTCAACGTCGCTGATATCGGGATCATGACGAGGATCGTAGGTCCAGCTAAACGTCTCGCGAACATCGACACTTTCTGACTTGTTGATACGCTGGGATCCAGGAGGTTTGTAGCCGTTGAAGTAGCGACTTTTGCCAACCCAGGAACGCATCTTCGCCTCTTCTTCCTGGCGGAAGTACTCGAGACAGGCTTCGTGGGCAGCGTCAGTGACGGACGAGTCGATGCCATGGTTGGTGATGTAAAAGAAGCCCGATGAAGTTGCAGCTTGGCGGATCTGTTGAGCCACTAGTTTTCGGCTTGCAATGTCATCGCCGAAAGAAGGTGATATGTCAATGAGTGGAATCTCCGTTGGAAGAGCATCACGGAGCGGTGTCCGGAGAATACGGCGCGTTACCGGGCCATTCCCGGAAGCGAAACGAAGAAGAGTTGTCTCCGGTTCGGACACGATGGTTGTCTCGCTCATGATGCCTCCAGTTGTGTTTATGTTGTCTACGGATCTGAGCGTCCTGGACGGAAGCAACCGGGCTCTTAGTAACTCTTGCAAGAGACGACAATTTTGTTTACAGACACTCTGGAAATGCGGGGTGATACGGGGCGATAAGACTGAGCCTTCTTTTTGCAGGTGGGGACGAGACACTCCATTGGCTTCTGATAGGGTCCCAGGAAACCATCTTGTCGGAGATGGCCGTCCTATCGCACAGCATTTCTAATTTTCTAGCTATGTGTAAATTGTAATTTGTTAAATGATCACGTCCGCAAATCATACTATCTGAGACCCATCTGGCGGAATTACATCTCAGAGACATCGAATCTTCTCATCATAATGGCGGAGGCATGGTTCAAAAACTGTCTTTTACATTTGGTCGATTTTAACCTCCTTCTTTCGGCCCCACAAGGTTTGTGACCTCGATTGGCGTTCTCGGACGAGGGACTTGATCCTTCGTGCTACCTTTGCCTGACCCCGCACAAGGTCGCTGATTCTCGATTTTACCAGACAGCTCTTCCAACTAAGCATACTCTCATATCTATTCGAATGTTTTCGTTGTGAACTTTGATACCTCGTTCATTATTTACTTCTCGCGACGACTTGTCGCGACGAGGATGGTTCTCGACTTCGACGCAAAAGCCCATGCCTCACTGCAACCGCCCAAGCCGCAGGCGCATTGTTGCTCAGATTGCCTTAAAATCCCTTGCTCCATCCGTAATTATGCATACCACTCAAGGGATTTTCTGGATCCTGAGACTTTAGACGCGTCAGGGTGGCGTTACTGGTTCAAGCCATCCATTGACGCCCTTAAACAATCAGCCATAGATGGTTATCCTCTCTGCGCACTGATATATCCACGGTGTCTTCAATCAAGTCACGGGGACCCGCACTATTGGAAACATGGAAATGGTGACTCGAGACTTGAGATGGTTTTCTGTGGTACCACCCCTTACTCACGAGACATCAGACTCGGCGACTGGCAAGTGCAGAATTTCCAGTTCACTGCTGCCCCTCATGAATGGTGTAAGTGAATAGTTGTCTTGCCATGAACTTTTTGGATGCATGTACGAGGAGCTAATTGGAAAAATACAGCAGAGAGATTTGCCAGACACATTTTCCCGAAGGCAATCGAGCCCTGACCTGCCCAAATTCTGGATATCTGAGTGTGACCATCAACATCAGACGCACTGCTTATCTGATTCAGATTTCCTGCCAACTCGGCTGGTGGACCTCCAGCACAGGCAAGGGAACGATGACGTTGTCTGTGTGGTGCACACAGTCAGCGCGAATATCTCAGACATTCGATACATGACACTCAGCCATCGCTGGGATCACCTAACGGATGAGGAGGCACAGTTGACTGTGCGCAATGTTGACAGTCGCGTCGAAGGGTTTTCCCTGAGCAGTCTGCCGCCTAGTTTTCGGTATGCAGCCTTTCACACGCGGGAGTTGGGGATCCGTTACCTTTGGATCGACAGTCTCTGCATCTTGCAAGACTCAAGAGAGGACTGGGTCAGAGAGTCGGTTCAGATGGGACAAGTGTATAGTGCCTCTTATTGCACTATTGCCACTTCCAACGACGCTCTCGAAAACTACAACAATCACTACCAGCAACGCAACGACAGTTCTCTTGATGTACTAGAATGTTCTAAGGTCATAGGAGATGAGGATACGATATGGCCGCACTGGGTTGGCTTGAGTCTTCTGGGGGAACGAAGAGGTCACATGCCTAGCAATCAATATCACGTCAGGATTTTCAACTCTGAGCCATGGGATTGGGAAGAGACACTCGATTAGACGGTTTTGAGCGGACGCGGATGGACGTTACAAGAGAGACAACTGTCCCGACGCGTAATTCACGTCACTTCTAACTCGCTTTTGTGGGAATGCCGTACCTCTCGCGGTTCCGAGCAAGTTCCATGGACGGGCAAGGTTACTGCAAACATGAAGATCGCGGCACGTTATCGAATCAATGATTCAATCAAAGATGGTCGTCAGATCTTCGAAAAGGACAGCCCACACTATTTCTACAACTTGTGGTATGAGATCATTTGGGACTACTCCAATCGTCTCTCGAGTGAGGAGTCAGACAAGCTTCCAGGCCTCGCCGGATTGGCCAAGACTTTGGCAAATATGACAGGCGATGAGTATGTTGCTGGGCTATGGAAGAGAGACATCGTCAGTGGGCTGCTATGGAAGACCCGACGATGGAACATGGATGGAGAGTACAAAGGCCGCCAAATTCCAAGACGTTCAATCAGGCCTGTTCCCGCCGGTTTCGTTCCCAGCGGCCCTCATGGCGCCATACAGCACACTCGAGCTTCATGCTGGAGGGCTCCATCCTGGTCATGGGCGAGTCTCGATGGGCAAGTCAGACATAGAATAGACTAGCCGGGGGCCGAGCTAGACGACAGCCGTTTTATACCAGAAAACATTGAGATAGACACGTCTTCCTCTCGCCACGCCGACGTTCATCATTTATCGCTTTCAGATACCGTCGCGAACCGCCTGACTCTCACGGGATTCATTCAACCTTGCAAAACAAAATACTTCCTTCGAGATCTGTTCCTCGGCTACTTGGACTCGGACTTTTGGACCGAAGGTTCCAAAACCCTTCACGAAATATCTGATACATCGTCCCCTGATCTATCTTCTGATGAACTTATGGAAGAGGCTGCAGTGGTTGGAAATTGGAACCGCGATAAGAAAATGCACTCGGATCAGGAACAAAAGGATTGCATAGGTGTGATTCAGTACGATGTCGTTGACGACATTGTCACGAATCAAACCGTGTACGTCCTTGCTCTTCGCCAGCTAGAGAGAGAGCCTTCATGGCAGGATGAAACACCATCTTGCGTTCCTACCGAGCGGGATGAGCGAGGGCGCCCGACTCAGCAATACCAAGTGTTTGGCCTTGCTCTCGTACCTACGGGAGAGGCGGATAATGAGTATAGGCGCATTGGTCTGGCGGAGTTCATCACTCCTTCTTGGTTCAAAGAGAATAGTAAAAGAACGGTCACACTTGTCTAGAGTCGTATCACTACAGGTACTCCTACAATACGCTCATATCTCACGTCTTATAGAGCCAGGATGAGTACATGAAACTCCTATGTTCCGTATGAATGTGTTGATACATAACGATCACGACAGTTCATGTCAACGACTATTGCATTCAGGGAAGCGAATAGGCCTGGCAGCTTGGTGCATTATCTCCAGTGCAGTAACTCAGTGGTCGCTTCTTCTGCCCATGAAATACATTCACTTGTTAGCTTGAACATATTCGAATGGCGGTAGGGCAGAAATAGGACTGTCATTTTCGTTCTCATCCGGAGTTTGTTTTGTGGGTATCGTTACTGAAAATCACGTCGTAGAGCTCACGCTATTGATTCACTGCGCGTCTTCCTCAAACGAGCATCTAATGAGATCCAGCATTGATCCAGCATTCACCAAACCGCATCTTTAGGACATGATATTATAAAATAGCTGTGCCTCCGACGCCCCCTTGGTCTTCTATTCGCACCATCAACACAGAAACAAGAAGCACATCAAACAACGCAACACTACAGAACCAAATCCCGCACTTAAAGGTCTTCAACTCAGAAACTCACTTCCAACACGACCAACCACGAAATCAACGCGCAATGTCTTCCTCAGTCCCTGCTAGTCAAAAGTGCTCCAAGTGTGGCGCCGAAGGAGATCACTACGTAAGTAATCATTTACTTCAATGGAAAACAGTGGATGACAGGGCTAACAAGATATGCAGTCAACCAGCTGCCCTGTGGCCAACCATCCCGACTCCGCTGTCAGACAGTAAAAGCTGTTCAATACTTGAGAGTCATGGGAAATGACACTTTTTGCAAGGAATGAATAGATACCCAAGGCATGCGTATGGAAGTCAAGAGTACTAAGAAGTCATAAAAAGTAGTGAAATTGAAAAATTTCAAAATCAAAACACCCTATGGCCTTGATGACAATGCGACTTGTGTTTGGATTCAATATCCAATTTCTGCAAACATTCAGACTGAGATTACATAAATCACGGCGTCACGGGGCAGACATCTTTTGAAATCCTCCTCAGGTTTCTACGCTGTTCAACAAATGGATTAAGAAAGAAAACCAATTACGGCTCAATACTCCGTCTTAACAGTTCATGTAGACAGCTATTCTGTGTCAGCTAAAATCCACGTTCAACGTGCGATTGTCACTCTAGTGACTTACCATTGGCATAGAGGGAGTAGTTGTCAGCGTTTTGTAGCGCACGCTCGGGGGGCAGTGCAACACTTGCGTTGTATGCGTATGCGTAATCATTGGTGTGAGGCTCATATACAGCTTCGCAATGAGTCGTCTCGTGTATGGTAGTCGTGGCCTGGCACTGGCGATGGCAACCCTGAGGCAGCGGAGGCAAGCCGTAAAAGAGAGGGCACATGACCATGGTATTGACGTCCCAAGCGGTGTACGCGTTGAGTGGGCCGTCTATTTCGCAGACGCCGTAGTAGTCGTAGCAGAAATAGCGAGAGACCCCGGAGTTCGTGGTAGAACATTCTTGCGCGACATTTCTGAGTCTGGTGACGACGATGTTGCGAGTTTCAGAAGAGTTGGTCCCGAAGTATTCTACGAACCTCTTTGATGAGGGATCCGCGGCATCGGCAGCGGCCGCCAGGGCTGTAACCTGGCAGTTCGCCAGGGCCTTGAGGCTGGCATCAGAAGTTGTTTCATTGCATCCCGCCTGTACGTTTGTGCGCTCTGCAAGGGCTGGGGCAACCATAAGCCCACTGGCGGCCACTGCATCAACGTCGATATCGATGGCGTTGGATTTAAAAGCGATTGCAGGCTGGTCAAAGGATGTTGACGAGGCGAGTCCAACCGGTATCAAACCATCTGCGATGACAGAAAAGCGCCCGGACTTCTCAAAATAGTGCACCTTGGCGACGTCGATAGCAACGGCGATAGACTCTCCAGCTGAGAGAAACTGGAAATGATTCGGTCTAAGTGCGTCATACTGTATGCTGGGCTCAATCCCCCTGAATGAAACCAGGCCTCCTGTTTATCCGTCAACAACTACTATGGTGTTTATGAAGAGAGTGCCATACCTGATTGGTCTGTAACAACTACACGCTGGACTGGAAGCTTATCGTCCAAAATAGTTCCTACTTTGAGCAAGTTGAGATCATCAGCACCGTTGTTTTTGATTGTTGCAATGACTTCGGTGGGAGTGCCAGACGCAGATGGTGCCAAGGTCACCTCTAGCCTGGAGTCGCGTTTGTTAAGCCGGACGCCGCGGGTGCCGGGGTGAGCGTCGGCAATGGCCAACGCTGAAAGAAAGAAAACTTTCTGCCAGAGCATGGTGAGTCCCGCAGAGTGTGAAGATTCCTCGTAGATATCAAACAGGCACGAGATGTCGAACGTTAGATCTTTAAATATCAAGTTTTGTCTCCTAATTGCCAGGGCACACATCCTGCCGCGGCCTTGTTTATCTTCCTTATTGAGGAAGGTGCCCGGATGTCTGGGGTTTTGCACTTTAGACGGCCCAATTATGGAAGGCCAAGCTCGTATTCAGATTGGAAATCCATGTTGGGTTGCTTGAATGCCGGCAAAGTGACATCGGCTGGAGTGGGACTCAGGGGCGATAAGGCCTAAGCTGCTCGTGCACTCTAGGGGCCGTTGAAGACATTTGCGATAACCCTCTTTCGAAAAGGCTTTGAAAAGGGGCGGGCTGTTAAAGTCATGGTAGTGAACGAGATAATAGCTGCCTGTAGTTCAAGGTAGAGTTTTGCCCCGCGGCCAATCACCGTTGCTTCTAGAGAGGACTGTTTTCGACGAGAAACCACAAAACTTGTGGTGGCCTCTTTTCCAAAGCCCAGTCACAAAATCTTATGAATTTCATGTCGTACTTCGAATCACAAATCCCGTGATAGATCTCTCCATTGCTCTTCCACTATGCTTAGGTAGGGATGGGCCAATTACCTCGGTCTAAGTAGCATTCCATGGCATCTGTGAAAGGTTTCCAGAAGAAAGGCAAGGTATCAGTTGCGGGGCTGAAAGAGAGTCGGTTATAGAAACCAAATAGTCTTTGCAACTGTCTTCCCCCCCGGCAGAGATCCTAATTAAGTATAACTCTTGGTCCACTCCAACTGTTGCGAAAAGCAGCGACGGCACAACCCCGAGCTAGCGGAGTGTGGGGACTCCCGGCCGGTCTTTGCGGGCCAGTGTGCGGGGAAGGAGCCGGCTGTTCTCCGGCAATTGCAGAAGCACTGGAGGCGTCACTAGTGTCGCTGGTCAGGTCTCACGGGGAGTATCGGAGCCTGTGAGTTGCTGACAACCCCACTCCCCCACCACCTCGACATCGTGACAACTAGTGGGGTCTGGCTTCATGCTGCTTCACTCTTCACAGGACGGAGGAAACACATATTAGCCCACTCGTTTCCGGGTCTCAGGCGGACCATTCCGTTCCTCATGATGGCGGACCGCTACTCCGCACGCTATTTACCTTGATTTATCAGCTTCAAGCTACATAAATACGACTACTCCATCCATATCTCGTCTTCAACTCACTCTGTCGTCCTCGACATTACCTCTACGCCTGGCTAAAACACAAGATGTCGTCCGAAACTCCCACCCTCCGATGGGGAATCATCGCCACCGGTCTCATTTCCTCGTGGTTTGTCGAAGACCTGGTCCTTGAGCGTTCCGACGCCAAAGCCAAGCACATTGTCCAGTCTGTCGGATCATCGTCACTAGAAAAGGGCAAAGCTTTCGTCGAGAAGCATCTGCCCGGCCACAGCCCGACTATCTATGGCAGCTATGCCGAAGTTTACAACGACCCGAACGTTGATGCTGTGTACATCGGCACCCCGCACGCTTTCCACAAGCAGAATTGCCTGGACGCGATCAATGCCGGCAAGAACGTTCTCTGCGAGAAAGCCTTCACGATCACCGCCAAGGAGGCACGTGAGGTCTTTGACGCTGCTAAAGCGAAGGGCGTTTTCGTCATGGAGGCGATGTGGACTCGCTTCTTCCCCCTTACGCGGTCTCTTCTGAACGTTCTGCACAACGAGAAGCAGATCGGCGAGATTCACCGTGTCTTTTGCGACTTTGCCATGAATATGAACATCGCTTCTCTCGGCCCCGACTCCCGTTTGAAGAACCCCGCTCTCGGTGCCGGCAGCCTCCTCGACATTGGCGTCTACAGCCTTACGTTCACAATCCTCGGACTGGATCCTGGTGTTGGAGAGAAGGCCGAGAAGCCGAAGATCGCTGCGACTCAGACTCTGTCAGACGATATCGACATTGCAACATCCGCCCTTCTTCTGTATCCCAGCGGAAAGCAGGGTATTCTGACTGCCTCAACTCAAGTCAAAACACCTCCAGCATTCTGTAGAATCGAAGGCAGCGATGGATACGTGTTGATCGAAGGCATTGCCACATCTGTTCCCGGCTCTTTCACTGTTCATTCTTCAGAGGCGTCTGGTGAGGGATGGACTGAATCAACCACACCTGGTTTGAAGGCAAAGAAGTACGATTTTGAGAGACCTGGCAAGGGCTTTTACTATGAAGCCGATGCAGTGGCTTTGGACATCAAGGCTGGGCGCAAGGAGAGCGAGATCATGCCGTGGGCTGAGACCGTCCGTGTTATGGAGATAATGGACGAGATTAGGAGACAAGGTGGCGCGAGGTTTCCCCAGGACGATCAATAGGAGGCACTTGTAGAAGAGTCGATTTATAGAAGGTCAATCAGATAATATGACATACATTTATAGATCATCACCGTAAAACGCCAGCGTTGATGTGGAGACCTGCTGCGTCATATTTTGCTCACAAAGTCAAACCAAGAGCCAACCAAGGTAGATCTCGCGGCGAATACGAGAAGTCCTCCAATCAAAACGACCACTAAGTAAAGACCAGATAAGGCAGTTGACCCCAGAGAGTCCAGCATCTGGCCGCTGATAGGCATGGTCAGAAGAAGAGAGAAGCTAATGACGAAGTTCATCGTTCCTAATAACACAATTAGTCGGACCATTACCTGATCAATTGGCGGGGATACTTGCCGTAATATCTGCCGTAGTCTTTTGGCTCACACGTCTTACCCATACACACTGTCCAAGGTATCAAGGCAAGAAATGATCAGCCAAAAGTATTGAAATTCCACTGACAAAGGGCCCCAATGCGACTTACCTGGCGTTAGAGACAAAAACGACCCTGTTCCGAACCCCCATAGTGCGGAGAAAGCATACAGTGCCTCGATGCGAATTGATCCAAACACGGTCAGTGTTGCCGCTGTGGAAATCAATGTGAACAACACCATAACCAACAAGATATTGAAGTGCCCAACATGGTCGCCCACCAGACCGGGAAGAATGCGCCCGAGAGATGAAAGGCCGTTGAGAATCGCAACCATGTTGTATCCAGACTCCACAGGAAAACCGGCCCACGCAACAAGAGTTGGCAGTATAGCTGTAGCGCCGAATATCACAAACTCCAGAAGGAATATAGCACCTGTGATGAGAGAGAAGGGCACCGAACGAAATGCTGAAAAGTCCATCGCTGCACTCTTCTTGCTGAGTCCAATGGACCGAGTGTCGTCCTGAGCTTTGGAAACCAACCGAGAGAACGGCGAGAGACAAGCCATACCCAGCAACATGATTCCCAGGACAATGAAGCCGAGAGCCCTCATGGACCATCTCCATCCCCAAATTGGGAAGATCTGTCGCAAAGCTAGAGGGAATATGATACCTCCGGTAGATGAACCTGCTAGTGCGATCCCCATTGCTAGGCCACGTCGACGATGGAAGATCTTGCCTATGACAGCGATGCCGATAGTTGTGGAAAAGGCATTGCCAATGCCGCCCAAAACTCCTAAACACAGAATGAAATGCCAGTAGATTCTGCACTCAGCCAGCAAGAAAAACATCGGGACCGTACACGCAGTTGCTAGTGGTGCTAGATATGTTGTCCCGAAAACGTCTACGAGCGGACCGGTCTGAATACCGAGGAACATGGTGAGAAATGTGTAGACACCGGTGATCCTTCCAATATCTCGAGCGGAATACTGTTCAAGCTGGTTCTCTTGGAGATATGCTTGTACAGTTCCTACGGATTGAATAAAGCCTGCATGGGAGGTGTTAGCTCTATGTGACCCGAAGTTGAGACATCGATATATGGTAATTACCGAATGAGGGCATCAGGAAAAGGAAAGACCCGATAACACATATCCATGCTGATCGTTGATTCTCGGCCACAAATTCGTCCTCTATAATGGCGTTCAGGGCCTCGGACTGGTTCTCGGGCGGTTCTTTTGACGTATGATCTGTCTTCGGAATACCACGGTGTCTTGCCGATGTTGCCATTGCTCTTGATAACATGGAAGTAGACTCGAAATCATTCTGCCATAATGCCCGAGTCTATCAATCAGGACTACAAGTAATAATTTGGATATTGTCAGGTCTTTCAAACCTGGCCACGCATACGGCGTTTCAATGGTAACAGCGGAGTTGGCGGAGTTAGTGTGGGGATCCTGGGCAGATCGGCCCCGGGTGCCGACTGGTCTCAGACCGGCGGACAGTTGTTCCTATTTGGGACTTAAGTTAGGCGAAGCTTTCCCGAAGTCGATTATATTAGTCGAGAACAACAAGTGTCACTTGACGCCAGCTTGAGGCCAGCTGTCATGGTTTGTCACAGCGAGGATCTCTTTCGCAAAGTTTTGGGCAGACATTAGATCTCCGACGTTTCCAATGGCTTCGCCGTTCTGCAGCTTCAGCCTTTGCCACAGACAGATTTCGTGCACACGAAATTCATCCTGGGCAGGTCACTAAGAGTTATAATGCCCAAAAAAACGGAAAAAGCATTAATAATTTTCTAAGTCGCATGGTGATGTAATTCGTACTAAATAGCGCGATGAAAAACTGAGTAGCCCTCGATTACTGCATACTAGGTCGAGAAATACTAGACTAAGCTACCGCGCTCATAATGCCTTAGTTCTAACTTATACGATCACGTTGTGCAAAATCAGTAATGGACACATTGCAGCGGTAAGGCGGTAAGCTTCCCACCTACACCAAGCCTCTCAGGGTTTAAAGGGGAATGACGACGGCGGGTTGATAGGCTGGCTATTTTTACTTCAAATGGTTTAGTTGAACGCTTAGATAGCTCGCCTAGTAAGATGTCAAAGTGTCCTTAATTATATTATACGTGAAGTGGCTTAATTAATCTAGCTATAAGTACTAGGCGCGGCTAGCTATAAAGTAGTATAGCTAATCCTTTACGTAAAGGTGGGATTTAAGCTAAGATTTAAGCTTTAGGCTTAAGCTTAGCTAACTACTATCTTATACCCCCTTTTTAGCTAATACTTCTAATACTTTAAATAAAGCTATTTCTATTCTAAAGTAATAATCTAATTAATTATATAGTAATTTTATATTATTCCTATTTCTATATATTATTTTTACTTTTCTATATTACTATTATTATTTTATTTTAATTCTAAAATACTTTTTAACTTTTTTTAATTTTTATATAGCTAATTAATATTATAACTACTATTTAGGTTATTTTTATAAAAATAATTAAATAACTACTTAGTATAATTAATATTACTCTCTATTTTTAATCTAAATTAAATCTCTAAATTAATAACTTAGAGGTTTATTATTTAAAACTTCTTTATAAAGTTAATTTTTAACTTAAATAAATTTAAAAACTATCTTTTTTAGTTTAATTTTAGATCTTATATTCTAAGTAGCTCTCTCTTTTTAAAAGTAGTAATCTTTAAATTATTAATTAACTTTATAATACCTCTTTTCTAATTTATTAATTATATTAAGTTAAGTATTAAATATAATAGTTCTTAATTAATATTACTTTAAAGATTAATCTTCTTATAATACTTTTAAAACTTAGTTAATTAATTTTTTATTCTTTTAAACTTTAAATTTATATTAATTTTATTTAAGTTTAAAATTAATTAACTTTTATTATTAAACTTAATATAGTTATAACTTAAAAAAATACTAATTAAAATATTTAATTTAATAATAAATTTATAACTTAGTAAAGTTATAATCTTTAATTACTTTTTAAGTTTTTATTATTAAATAACTTCTTATATAAAAGACTTTTATAGTTAGTAATTTAACTATTAAATAAAGTAAATTAAAGTAATTAAAATAATATAAAATCTAACTATAAAAGTTAATTAGTTAGTAAGATATAAGGGAATAAAATTATTATATATAAAAGAAATAAATAAAGGCCTCTAGCTGTTCACTATGATTTTTACCTGCTTAGAGCGATAGACCTCCTAACTCCACGCCTCCTAATAATACATACAGCCTTCGGTCACATGATCCCTAACAACCTCCTAAGTCTCTAACTACCTCTCCTAATCTCAGCCGCACTTATATATACACATTATACTAAATAACTTCACTATCTTTAACTTCACTTTAGTAATAATATAGTTTATAATTACTTAATTACTTAATTACTAATTACTAAACTATTAACCTATCCTCTCTCTTATATATTACTTATATTACTATTAAATACTATCTTTATTACTACTTTACTATCTACTATAATAGCTTCTTTAGAAATAAGTTATTACTATTATTATCTTCTTATTTAATTAAGCTAGCTAACACCTTCATAGCTATACTATTATTAATAACACTCTCTCTATTTAGCGTAAAGCGTACTTATTAATCTCTATTAAGCTTATATTTAGGCTTAGGCTATATCTACCTTAGTATTATAGAAGGTTTATATAAAGAAAGCCTACTCCTTAAGATAGCTAGAGATATATATAACCTCTACCCTAAAGCTATTAGGGGTGTTTATTACTTTAATTATAGTATAGAGAGGGTCCTTTTTAGAGGTATTCTTAAAAGCTCTATCTAATACTACTATAATAAACTACTTCTAATTAGAGTTAGAATACTTACTAAACTTAAGAGCTTTATCTAATATATAGATATTATACTATATAGCGATAGTTTTAGCTATCTTCTTAAAAAAAGGTATACTTAGTATAAAGTTAATATTTTTATATTCCTTATATAGTATAAATATTATAAAAGATCTATTATAAGTTATAAAAATAGGTTATTAATATAGGTTTAAGGGTAAAGAAAAAGAAGAGGGAAAAATATAAGCCTTATATATAATAGTAGAGCTTTTTATACTTCTAACTATAAGAACCTCTTATAATAACCTTTTTAATTAAAAAGTTATCTCTATTTAGTAGCATTTATAGATAACTTCTTTAGTTAAAGAGTTATCTCTCTTATAGTAGTATTCGCAGCACTTCACTAGAAGGTTTAGTAAAGCTATTATTAGCTAGGCTATAAAAGCCTTAATAACCCTTTTAGCCCTAATATAATTAGCCCTACTACGTATAGTACTGCTAGCCCTACGCTGCGCAGCTAGCGCTATTGCTATTCCGCTAGTCTATTTAGCTAGGGCGTGCGTTCGACTTTATGTAAGGGTTTACTTACTAGTAGGAATATATAGGGTTTCTATACTGTTTTCCTTAATTAGTAGAGGGTATAGGTTAAGGTGCCTATATAGTGTTTCTAGAATTATGCCTGCATATAGAGTGAATTTTGCTATAGTCTTTTTATAGGGGGGCTGCGTCATAACTATAAACTTAAGAAATAAATAAATAAAAGGGACTTAATTAAGATTAAGTCTTAAGATATTATCCTTAGATTAAGATTTATTATTAGTTATAAGTAGTTTAAATAAACTTAATATTCTAATAAAATTATAATACTTCTCTACTATTAGTAGTTTAATAAAACTATTAATAATTATTTTATAAATTAAAATATAATTAATCTTAAAATCCTTATTATTAATATTATTAATAATTTAATAATACTTAATCTTAATATAATATAGTTTAAGTAACTATTTACTTAATAGATAATTATTAAAAGTATTTATAAAATCTATATATACTTAGAGGGGTAATTAAATAGAGATATTTATCCTTTTAAAGAAATCTATAATATATAATAAAGCTTTCCTTTTAAGTATTAGATTTATTTACTTAACTTTATAGGTTAATATAGCTATAAATAATTATAATACTAATTTCTAAGTAATTAATACTCCTCTATATATAACTATATAACTAGCTATTAACTTACTTATTCTTTTATAATTAAACTAACTAATATTATAAAATACTAATAATTTAAAGTTATTAATAAAGTATTTTAAACTACTAAAGTAGAATACTAATTATTATAAACTATAAAGATATCTCTATATTAATCTTAGTAGTTTATTATACTTTTTAAAAGTATATTATTAATCTTTAGTAGCTTTATTTATAGGTATTATAATATCTAGTTATATATTATTTATAATTTATTATAACTTACTTAAATTACTTTAATATTTATATATCTTAATAAGTGTTTTATATTATTTTATAATCTTTAGTAGCTAAGTATTATTAAAATAATAAAATACTTAATTATATTTAATAATACCTTTCTCTATTAATATATTATTAATATACTTAGCTTATAAGATCTAAAGTTATTTTATTTTATTGTAATATATAATCTTAAACCTAAAGAATTATTATATTTTACTTAAATCCTTAATTTAAAAGAAATTATATAAGTTATCTTTAAAGTTATTAGCTTACTTAATATTAAGTACTATAATAAATATATTATTAATATAAAGTAATATTATAATATTATTTTTATTAATAAGAATATAAAGTTCTTTTAGTAGTAAATAGAACTTTAATTATTTAAAGATAGTAATAATTTACTTATATTAGAGAAGAGGAGATTCTCTTAATCTATAAAGAGCTTTTTTTAATCTATAAAACTAATTAGATCTATTATTAAACTTATAAAGTTAAGTAATAAAGATATTTTAATTTCTTATAAAAGTATTTAAAAAAGCTATAACTATATTAACTTAGTAAAGTTTTAAATCTTTAAGTACTATAATTAATAAAAAGATTTATAAAGTAATAAGATTAATAATAGTAATATAAACTATTTTATTATCTTTATTTTAAAAGTTATTATAAATAACTTATTTTATTCTAACTCTATTAAGTTTTCTATTTATAATAACTTTCTTATTATATACTTATTTACTTAAGAGATATTTAAAGCTATTTAGGAGTTTTTTAAAATATTAATAATCTATCTCCTATAAGCTATTAACTTAAGTCTTTATAGTATTAAAAATAGCTAACTTTAGAGGTCTCTTTTTTATTACTTCCTATTTCTTAAAAGTTATAAATAAGTAAATCTCTAAGCTAAAAACTTATAATAAGTTAGATATTAAAAAAGTAAAAATAACTAATTCTTAGTTTATTTTATTATTAATTAAGTTAATTTCTATAGCTCCTATTTTACTAAATTCCCTATTAAACTTCTTTATATTATATAGTATCTAAGTTTTAAATATTTAGGTTATTTAATTAAAAAAAGAAATAATTACTCTTAATAATCTTATAAAAATAGAACCTCTATTACTACTTCTTAGCTTTCTCCTTAATTTTCTTTATATTAAATAAGAAGTTTAAAGTAAAATATTAAAAAAATCTTATTATTATTATAGATTATTAACTAATATTTATTATTTCTAAGGAGTAATAAGAGATTTCTATTTTAAAAAAGTAGTAAAAGAATATTACTCTAGAGGAGTAATAAAAGAATATTACTATAAAGAAGAAACTTCTTTTAGTATTAATTATATTTATATATTTATAATACTAATATCTAATACTAATAAATATAGTTTTAGATTTAGAGTTAATAAACTACTTCTCTTATTACTAATTTCTTTTTATTCTTAAAGAAGCTTATCTTCTTATTTTTATTTATTATTATCCTCTAAATCTTAAACTTCTTTTAGGTATAAATTATTTAGTTTTTCTTATTATTAATTTTATTTAATAGAATAATAATAATAATAAAACTTAATATCTATAATATAAAGCTAAAACTTAGCTTTATATATTACTATTAGTAATTTATTATTATACTTATAAATCTTTAGTTTAACCTCTTTTTTTAGCTATAAATTATTAAATTTAACTAAGGGAAGTTCTCTTTTATTTTCCTTAAATATTATATCTTTTACTTACTAAATACTATTAGTTTTTTTAATAAAAATATAGAAAATATTACTATAGAAGCTATTATATCCTATAAATCTTCTAAGTTTAGCTTTAAACCTTATTTTCTACCCTTTTATATATAGATAGCTATCTAAGTAAATATAAATATAAGCTTAATAACTTTAATAATAAAAGTAATATATATATAGTTTTTTTATAATAAAAAATATATTAAAAGTATTTATTAATTTCTTATAAAGACTAATATTACTCTTACTATTAAATAGTAGATTTCTAACTTCTATAGAAGTCTTTATTAACTAAAGTTAAAAAGACTTAAGAAAGCTAGTTTTTATATATATTATTTATACTTTTTACTATATAGCTTTACTAAAACTTTCTACCCCCTTATTTTATTAATAAGAGTAAGAAACTACTATCTCTAAATAGAAACCTTATTTTTAAATAAAAAGTTCTATTATTTTAAAAAAAACTATATTATTATTTATAATAACTTTAGAGAAGTAAATAATATTATTTATTATTATAATCTTTTTTAGAAACTAGCTTTATAGCTAAATAGCTACTTCTTTCTTTAATTTAAATACTTAGAACTATTTATAAATTAAAAAAGCTTCTATAATATAAAAACTATAAATAATATTTCTAAAACTTTATAATATTAGTTTTAAGAAATTAATCTAAAGCTTTTAGAAAGCCTAAATTAGTAGTTCTTATTATTTATTATTAAGTTACTATATTAACTTTACTATAAAGTAAATATAATATTTATATTTTATAAGAAGTACTCTAAAAAAGTTTATATTAATATCTCTTATAGTAGTAATAATTACTTCTCTAAATAGATATTTTAAATAAGTATAAAAAGTTTAGTAATTTAGCTTAAAAGAGCTAAATTTATTACTCTAGTTAGAAGAATAAATTTAAAACTAAAAAACTTATATATCTTATTTAAAATTAATAATAGGTTTAGATATATCTTTATAAATTAAAGTATTATTTAAACTATTAAAATAGATACTTATTTTCTAAAAAGGATTAATATTAATAATTTATATTATATTATAAAGTTTATAAAAAGTATTATATAATTAGAAAGTAGTTTTTTTACTACTTAACTTAATAATAATTACTTTAGCTATACTAATAGCTTAGCTAATTTAATCCTTTCTACTTATATAGTTTATAGTTAATCTTTAAAAGAGATCTTAAAAATCCTTAAAAATAGAGAGATTATTAAGGATATACTTATTAATATTAATATTTAGTATAAAAAAGTTTATCCTCCTAATAGAAGCTATAAATATAATATATTAGTTTAATTATACTTCTTAGCTATTATTTTCTTCTTTATTAGTTTCTTTAATAATACTATATATAAAGAAACTATTAATCTCTATTTTAATAGTTTAGCTAATAAATCTATAAATAGAAAGTTTAAATTTCTTTATTAATTACTTCTTAACTCTCTATATATAATTAACTTTATATAAATTTCTAATATAAAATTAAAAATTAAAATATAAACTAAATACTTTAAAGTTATCTATTAAGAATAATAAAAAAGTCCTCTTTTAAGCTTAAGCTATTAAAGTATCTATATAAGCTTTAAATTATTAGTTAATATCTTATTTAATACTAAAGTTTTTAAAAATACTATCTTAAGTTTAATTTTCTAAAGTAAATACTAAAGTAGATATTTAAATTATTAATTACTAAATCTATAATCTATTAATATATTTAAATTTATTATATAATAAAGTATAATACTTAGAGGTAGGTATGAGGGTACTTCCCCCTCTGTTTAATCTATACTATAGGGCTTAAGGCCCTAATACTCTATACTAATACTCAATACTAAGCTATACGCTACTGAGAAACCCTTTATAGGAAGAAAACTCAGGCTATAAGCGCAGTACACGATAAAGTAAACAAAGCGCGCATATAATACTATATAATAATTAGCTAGAGGCCGTTAGTGCCCCACTGTGCATGTGGGTCCCTCGAGAGAGGGACCTACATTTTACAGCGGGTCCTTAACTAATTAGAAGAGAGGAAAAGGGGTTCCTATAGCTAGGATTAAACTAACGCCTATGCGTTTAGGTAACGCATAAGCCTACTAGGCGCATACTACTGCGCTATATAGGTAAAGTATAATACTTATAATACTTAAAAGAGTATTTATTATACTTATTAGAGTATAAAGTTATCTTTCTATAATAATAGCTATATATTTTATACTTATAAAAATCTTTAGGATACTTAACGTTATATAAAATATAAAGATCTTATATCTTAATATTCTTAGACTTAAGTACTTAAGTTTACTTTTTTATAATAAACTTCTTCTTATTTAATAAAGCTTTAATACTTTAAGAAGCTTACTTATATTATTCCTTTTTATTTAAGTTTTAAAGTTTTTATAAGAAATTATTATAGCTTTAAATCCCTATAATAAAGTTATTCTCTATAAAGTCTATTTTAATTTAATTAAAATATTTAAAACCCTAAATAAGTTTATAAATAAAAGCTATAATTAATAAGCTTATATTAAAACTATTTAGTTTATTAAAAGTTAAATAAAGATTTTATATAAAATCCTTAATATTATTATAATTAACTCTAATTATTCTATTCTAATTATTATAGATTTTATTTATAGCTAGCTTATTAAACTTCTAAATATATTTTCTAGTTTTAATAAAGATATAAAAAGCTAAAGTTATAATAAAAAAACTATTATTAATTATTTCTTCTAAGAGATTATATTAGATTTTCTCTATAAGTAATTATTTAATAAATATAAAACTTATAAATATTAGATTATTTAAAAAACTTAGATCTTTAATTATTACTACTTTATTTTCTTTAAAAACTATATCTCTATTATATCTATTTAATATTTTCTTATTTATTAAATAGAAAAATAATCTTATTACTTTAAAAGTATTCTTAAGATTAATTTCTTATAACTTAAAGTTTATAGTTTTAATTAGTTTAAAAATAGTATTATATATTAAACTTCTTAAATTTAGTCTTTTACTAGCTACTTTCTATATAGCTACTTTAGTTATAAAGTTTACTATAAAAAAAGAAAGAAAGCTAAACTAAAATAATCTCTTTCTAATAAAACTAAAAAAAAAAAATTAAATTACTAATTAAAAATATATTAATTTATTTAATTAATTTAGTAGTTTAAAAAAAGTTTAAGTAGTAATTATATATAATTATTAAATAGTTATTAAATAATTATTATTATATAACTATAATAAATATTAAATAATTATTAACTTTAGTAGTTTAAAAGTTAAAGAGATTTTATAAATAAAAGATATATATTATAATAACTATAATCTCTATTTAGAAGTATTACTTCTAATAATTTAGTAATTTATTAATTACTTTTTAATAATTACTAAACTATAAAATTAGAGTTTTAATAGCTATTTAAGAATAACTTTACTATTTAGTAAATAGATTTAGGTATTTAGAGAGCTTATAACCTATATAAAATAACTTAATTAATCTAGCTATAAGTACTAAGCGTAGCTAGCTATAAAGTAGTGTAGCTGATCCCTTATGTAAAGGCGGGATTTAGGCTAGGATTCAGGCCTCAGGCCCGGGCCCAGCCGACTACCGTCTCGCATATTGAATGTAATTCGCAGACATTTTAGAGAAGCGTGTAAGTCGGGTCTTCGGCTTGCAGCAGCAACACTGGCATCTCAACGCCTTCTCACAAGCCCCGGCACGAACTGGCTACAGTCTGAGTTCAGACACCTAAATTCGTCATGGGTATTGAAAGGTCTCTCAGTACTGAGCAGGTCGATTCAACTCACCAACACACACCCGACCCGGAGACAGTTTCGCTTGGCCCTGACAGCCGCATTGAGCATGTGTATCTCACATTCGACACAAGGCTTCCAGAGCCCGTCTTACAATCACAATCGCAACCTGAAAACACTCCTCCTCGTCCCAACCTCCAATCGTACAGCTCTCCTCTCGAATGGTCTCCGGCTCGAAAATGGCTTCTGCTCACACTCGCCTGCACCGCGACATTCCTCACCTCGTATACCGCAGGCGCTTACGCTCCGCCGATACCTCTGATGCAAATTGCGTTCAACTCCTCGCACCTCGCTGTCCTAAGCGGATTGACGACATTCACCATCGGTTTCGCTATATCACCAATGGTACTCGCTCCTTTCTCCGAAATCAACGGCCGATACCCTGTCTTTGCTGCCAGTGCCATACTCTATACTGCATCCCAAATCGCGTGTGGGGGAGTGACCTCCCTCGCAGGTATGCTGGTCGCGCGTTTCTTCACAGGCGTGGGAGCTAGCGTCTTCAGCACCATGGTAGGGGGCTTCATCACGGATCTCTGGGCAAAGGAGAACCGCAACACCCCCATGGCTATCTTCAGCGGCGCCGGCATTGTGGGAACCGGGGCAGGTCCAATGGCCGCTGCCGCGATCGTACACTTCCATGGCAATGAGCAAACTGGAGCTGGTTGGGAGTGGGTATTCTGGCACATGGCCATCTTGACAGGGGCAACAGCTCTCTTGCTGTTGGTTTTCATGCGCGAGAGTCGAGGTCCAGTGCTTCTGTCCAGAAAAGCAAATGCACTAAACAAGTGGTACGAGGAGCTGGAACAGCTGGGAGCATACGGGGTCGTCTTTCCGCATGTCGAGCCAGATGTTGGGAGCACATCACCAGGCCTAGGTTCGCAACCTAGGAGGATACGATGGGTTGTCAAAGAAGATGAGGACCGAATTTCCATCAGCCATATGATTACCGTTTCTGTCTGCCGACCATTTCGTCTTTTATTCACCGAGCCAGTCGTCTTCTTCTTTGCGCTGTGGCTGTCTTTCGCCTGGGCAGTTCTCTTTCTTACCTTCGAGTCGATCGCGATCGTATACGAGCGTGTCTACAACATGTCTCCTTTCGGATCAAGCCCAGCGTTCTCCAGCCTAATCGTAGGTGGTACGATCGCGACGATTCTGTGCATCTGGCTAGAAAGCCTCCTGCATGTATCTCAATGGCAAGGTGAACCGGCAGACCCGACATATGCACACTCCAACTTCTGGACTTTCATGAGGCGCCACTTTCCAGTCGACGTCCCTGAGTCTCGACTTTACTTCACCTGCATAACGACTCTTTTACTTCCAATTTGACTGTTCCTTTTCGGCTTCCCTTCACGGCCTGAGATACATCATGCTGTGCCGGCTGTGGCTATAGGTATCGCGACTATCGGCATCTACTCCGTCTATCTGGCAACTTTCAACTACATTGCCGATACCTACGGGCCGTATGCGTCATCTGCGCTGGCCGCTCAATCGTTCTGCCGAAATATTATGGGCGGAACCTTTCCTCTCATTACCACTATACTCTTCCAAAACCTTGGAGAAAAGCGCACAGGTGGGCTCTTAGGAGGTATCGCAACTGCACTCGGCATCGTCCCGTGGATGTTAGTATTCTTTGGCGAACGTATCCGCAAATGGAGCAAGTTTGCCCAGGTAAGCATGCCGCAATCTTTTCCCTCTTGTCGAGGCTAACCTCGCTCCTGAACAGGCACTCGAGAAATCGTAGCTGCAGACAGAACCGATAGATATAACGAGAGAAAGGAGAATGACTGAAGAGAACGGAACAGATGGTGGGCCTCTTGGTCGCGAATTGAAATGGTCATGAGTCGCAACATGAAAGCTGGACGCTGTTTGCCATGCAGGCACAAGGATGCTGGCATGGTATATTCTACCTTCTCGAGCTTGGGAACATCTCTGCAGGAGTTCTGCTTTAAAAAAAAACTGCTCTCCGTAATACAACTCAAGAGCCGAGCCGTCAGCGCGGGAGATCACCACTCTGCCGCCCTGGCATATTTCTCCGCAAAATTCTCCGGGACCTTACCTTTAACAGGCCTTTGCCGATGACGAGTGATCGCGTCATTGCAGGGACCCCAGATTCTATTCGACGAGCTCCCAGTTTGACTCGCCAGATGGCTGTCAACCAATATCCAGAGACGACAAAGTTTCCCAACGGAGTTGTGCTCCGACACCTCGGTATCTCGAAGGCATGATGGTCGGCGAATTGAGGCTCATCTAAACCGTGGTCATGGGGGACGTCTTGGACGATGTAGACGGTATATAAGCTTGTTGTAGATGCTTCTCGTTGCCAATCAAAGGCACCGAGCTTCCATTATTGATTTTCGCTATCCCCCGCAGATCCTGTTCAGCAATGTTGCCCCAACTCTCCTTTCTTCTGGCTCTGCCCCTGTTGGCGATCGCCATTCCTTCACCAGCGCCCCTCGAGCACAGCAAGAGGGCCATAACTTGCCTGAAGGTAGGGGCTACTGCAACCGCCAGATGGACGAACAGTGCCGGCAAATCATGCACTTTTACCGGCGTGGTCGGTAGCAACTATGGCACTAACCCTTCCGGCTCCGGAGAGTAAGTCAAGTCTTTCTCTGGTAACTTATCATTGTTTACTTACATGGTTGTTCATAGCTATTCTTGCAACGGTCGCTGCGGTGCTGGCTGCACTGGTGCTTCTTTGGGCAATGCGTACACTCAAGACTGCTTCTCTCATGACATCTGCTCCTACTTCAACAGCGCTAGCGGCGGTGCAAGGTAAGCTTCTCGTATTCGTCTCGTGTAAGCTGGCCCAAGATGCTGACAACATTCGACAAGCGATCCCAACTGCGGTGCTGCTTACAATGCTGCGGTTGACGATACCACCCTCGGCGTTGTGAATGGTTGTGGACAGACGAACCCATCCAACGCCGTATCCAAGCCTTCTACGAGCCCTGTCTGTACTTAGTAGAGAGACAAAAGCATGGGCAAGCCCATCATTGGCGGCTGTGGTGACTGTGTGAACATGATGAGGTGTAAGAGAAAGGTTTGGAGTCTGCACATATGATAGTTTCTGTAAACAATTGGTATTAAACTACTCTACATACAAAAGTCGAATGCAATCTTGAAGAACGTTTATAACAATCCTCTCGGGGTCTCCCAGCGCATGCTAGTACTAGAAAGTACTTTTTGGTACCATCGCAACTGTCGCTGTGCGAGGCATTGACAGGAATAAGAGGACGGAAACAGAGGAAAACGGACGGAGAAACCAGCTCAATGTTATCTTTAGTGGCCTGCATGGTCATCCCTGTACTTCGGGTAGTCGAAGAAATCATCAAAGATCTTTTCGGTGCCAGGAGGGTAGGAGAAGGTGACCGTAGGATCCTCTTCGTTGCCTGGGTTGGGGACGGAAGGTGTGTCTCCTACTTGCTGCGAGAAGCCGTCGGTGAAGTCCATCGTGGTTTGTTCATGGTCAGGGAAAGGGGTGCTTGCAGAATTGTCTGCATGGCTTGGTCGCAGATCGCCGACATAGCGGACGGGCTCAGAACCTGACTGAGAGCTCGCAACAATCTCGCGTCCGTAGTACAGGGCGCCAGATCTCATCAACCGAGCCGTATCTGAGGCGTCGGCGATGTTATTGTGCTGGGCATGAGGCTGTTGGTAAAGGCCGTGCAGAGAGCCGTCGAACTGTTGGGTGTCGCCAGCTTGGTTCGACGAAGCCGGTCCGAAGCCGAAGAACGGATCGTGGGCAGAGAGTTCTTGGGCATTATCGTAGATTCCAAGGTCGTGTTGCATAGACAGAGGGCCGTTATTGGCCTTTGAAAGGAGTCAGCGATGTACATCATGGTCAGGAAGGTGATAGTACCTGACGGAGGACGTTGGTAGGCCGAAGACTGTTGAGTTGAAGGACCTGAGGGTCCACATAGCGCGGAGGGCGAATGACGCCGGTGGTCTCAGGCTGAATGTCGTTTCCGACAGAGTTCCTGGGGCCTGCGTACGGTAGGGGCTGGGCTGGGCGGGCGTTGGCACCCATGTGAGACTCCCGTCGAGCAGCCTCAAGCTCGGTTCTCTCGTCCTCCTCTTCGTCCTTTTCCGTCATGTCTCTGGCCTGTGCTTTCGAGCGATGTGCCTTCTTGGCAGGCGGCTTGGCCTGGTCGTCCTTCTCACGGGCTCTTTTGGTTGGCTTGAGCTTTCCGGTCTCGTCAGTCTTGTTGCCAGATTCTGCAGCTTTGGGGAACCTCGTTGGGTGAGGACTGTTGGAACCGCTGAGGATGTCGCGAAGACGAAGGACCAACGGCATGACATGATTGCTGTCCTTCCATTCCTGAGTAAGGTCTTGAGGTTCTTGGTTGCCACCGTCGATGTCCTTGACGTGAAGCAAAATTGCCGCGTACCAAAGATAATTATCGTGACGGTCACAACCGAACATCATTTTCTCGCGGCTCGGGACTTCATCGTTGACGAGGCCTCGCAGCATCCGCTGCTGTGAATACAGCTTGATGTACTTGCCCCTGGAGTCATTGCTGTTGAGCGTCTGGAGGAGGAAGAGAGCATGACGGGTTCGAGGCGCGCCGTTGAAAGGGAATCTTTTGATCGTGTTGGAGATCTGGGCAGTCATCTCCTCTGCAGTGACATGCTTTTCGCCGTCTCCAGGATTCTCGTCCTGGCCATCGTCCAGGGCGCCCTTCTCTCTGCGACTGCCCTTGTGATTGTTCTCCTTACCCTGGCGCTCGCCTCCCGGAGCCTTGTCGTTTCCGTAGCCAGCCATTGTGGTTTTCTCGCTTTATTGTCAGCTGGTGGGCGTTTTGGGTGTGGAAAGGGATGGTTGAGGGTCGAATTTGATGGAAAGCGCGTCGAAAGAATTGTGTAGAGGACCAGCAAATTTGGCGAAAAAAAGGATGGAGGACAAGAAAAAGAATTTTCACAGCAGCAGAGAGTCGAGAGACACAAGGTGAACTGAAAGAAGCAGAATAAACATGGCTCGGGAGCCATCTGTACGTGTGTCTGGTCTCTGAAATGGCGCTGGATGAGGGCCAGTCAGGGGAGCCAGCGTGAAGACCATGTCATATCTTTCTCAGCCTCATAGCTTCTTCCCCGCCTTGGGTTCATCGACCTTCAGCTTTGAAGCTTGTTCCAAAATCATGCCAACTCAATCTGTTTCACTCTTCCCTCCTTCGTCACCTCATCGACATCCGCTCCCTCGATATCCTTCTCCTTGCCCTCAGGCTTGCCCTCGAAGACCTCTCTGATTTCCTCGAGTGTGTGGCCCTTGGTCTCAGGGAACAGGAACCAAATAAGGCCCAACAACAGCCCAAGAATACAGCAAAACACGATGTAGTACTTCCAAGCTATCGACTTCATCGCGATGGGGTTGACCTGGTTGCCAATGATGAGACCAGTGAACGCGGTGATGTATGTGACCGAGAGGCCACGGCCACGCAGAGTGTATGGGAAGATTTCGACCGGGTATGCTTGCAAGAGTGGCGTCCATGCAATATCGTAGAAGAAGTAGAAGATGAAGATGAATCCCACAACAGCTCTTCCAGTCGCCTCGTTTTTACTCGTCACGAAGTAGGACGTCAGGCCGGTCCAAATGATATAGCTGGCAAGCATGCCTCCTGTGGAGATGAGGAACAACGGGCGGCGTCCGAGACGATCAACCATGAGGGCTCCGAGGAAAGTAGAAATGATCCAGTTGAAAATCTGCAGCAGTCCGTTGATAAGAGTCTGGTCCTTGACTTCAGTTATGCCGATCGTGTTGAGGACAAGCGTCAAGTAGTATGAAACCACAGCCACACCGTTCTGCACAGGGTTAGCAAATTGCGATGAGTATCATTACAGAAAACCACCTACCCATTGACTGAAGAAGCCGACGATCACTGCAAGGAGGGTCCGTTTGCGGTTCGCAGGAGTTCGCACAAGCTCAAGCCAGGAGGATTGCGACATGGCTTCAGCTTCGGCATTGAGGGTTTGCTCGACTTCGCGCATTTCGAATTCGACAAGAGGGTTGTTAAGGTCTCCGCCGGCATGGTAGTCTGCAAAGACCTTTCGGGCTTCGTCTTTGCGACCCCGGCTCATGAGCCAGCTACGCGTGGTGATCGTCAGTTGTGATCGACAGGTTTTAACGCGTCAGTCTTGAGCTTACCGAGGTGACTCTGGTAGGAAGAAGAGACCGAGCAGCTGAATAACCGGAATGGCACCTTGCAACAGAGATGGAATTCTCCAGCTCCACGCTGTAGGATTCTTGAAGGTCCCGTATGTGCACCACGCAGCAAAGATAGATCCGAAGTAGCTTGAAGTATGTCAATAATCTGCCAACGAAGGTCTGC